ATTAGTTACAGACAGTTGTGAGCTGCAATGTGGATGCTGGGAATTGAACTCAGGACTTCTGGAAGAGCATCAGCTAGTGCTCTTAACCACTGAGCCATCATCTCTCCAAAGCCTGGCATTTCTTTTTTTAAGGGTTTGTTTATTTGGGCTGGAGAGATGGCTCAGCAGTTAAGAATACTTGTTGATCTTTCAGAGAGTGCTAGTTCAAAACCCTGCTCCCATGTCGGGAAACTCACAGCTTTGGGGGATCCAATGGCCTCTTTCGGTCCCTGCTGACACTGGCACACACGTTAATGCACACCATATGCATGCAGGTACTGACAGACATCAGATTCGCTGCAACTGGAGTTGCAAGCTATCTCAAGTTGCCAGATGAGGGTGCTGGGAACACCAAGTGCTCCTAACCATTTGGTCATAACCTCTCCAGCTCCAAATCTGAGATGTCAAGAAACTCAGGCTGAAAAATGCAACAGAGGTAGCAAATTCAACAGCTCCAATAGTCTCATTTCAGTCACTACCCCAAGCCATGTGACACCCACATTGTCAATCCATCTCCTTTGCAGGTAGACCCATGTATTTTTTTCCTTTAAGCTACCTTATGATAGTTTCCCTGGCAACAAGTCACGGCTTCCCATTCCAGAGAACATTGGCTAGAAACACGGCAAGCCTGCAAAGCAATCTGCACTCAGCAGATGAGGAGCTGGCACATGGAGGAGGCTGCTTGGCAAAGTCCTGACAATGGCTGCTTCACCAAGGCAGTTTCCTTAACTACACAATGCAGATCAAAGCTGCCTGTCTCATCTGTACCCCAGACTGTTGTTGTGGCAGATGTACACAATGAGACTGATGTGACAATCAGTCTTCAAAGAGCTGACCTGGCCCAAAGTGACCAAGCCTGAGGTGGTGGAACAACGAAGTCACAGAATACGGTCATTCCTCAAATACCATGTTAACCAAAGCCTTTACCAAACTAGAAAATATTACTCTCAAATTCTCTCTTGCAGAGAACTCTTTCATGACTTCTGAACCCATCTGTCTCCCAGCACTCAGTATCAGAGGACCTCTAGAGGGACAAGCAGAAGAGTATACAGTGCCTGTCCTGAAGAGTTCAGTTCCAGGGTGCTGACAGCATCAGGCACAGAAAGTAGGCCTTGGTGAGAGCAAAAGAAAAACCATCTCCTCATTTTATCTTGTTTAACTATTCAAAAACTCCCCTCTAAAGGGCCCAAACAAAACACACTACCCAATCCTATACTTTAGACAAGAGAATTGTGTTTTAGCTTTATTGACATCACAGTAGACAGGACGAACACATGCTCTATAAAATATACATTCTTATGTGAGAAAATATAATCGTTACCATGAAACACCCACACTGAACAGCATGGTGCATATCTCTTTAGAGGTGCCTTACACCAGGGCTGCTCAGCCCCACATCCTCTAATGGGAAAAGAGCAGAGGACAGCAGGGAGTAGAAGTCACTCGGTGGATGAAGAAGTCATCTCCAGCAACCAGGATATACTTCAAGGACACTTGGCCACCTGAAGTTCAGCTTCTCTCTGAAAACAGTTACAGATGCTACAAGATCACTTCACATTCAACAATAGGCAGTCAAGCTGTTCACTCATCACCTTCATTCCACTGCTCGATAATTACCACAACTGCAAAGAAACAACATCCACAGGGGGGGAGTGGATCCGAATCATTAACTCAAAGCATACTGGCTGCGACAGTGCTTGCCTGGGTTTGATTCCTAGGACACCAGACATCAACTGTCCTTCCCCTCCCACCATCTCACAAAGGTGGCTTTTGGGTTTTTAGATGTTCCAAGTGCAGTTCCTAATACATCCCTAATTCAGAAACTTGGTATTCCTGTCAATGAACTCATGTCCAAAAAAGAATGAAAGAAAAAGAAAATCTAGGCTAAGTCTGTACATTTAGATCATGTTCCAAGTTAAAAGCAGAAAGGGAGTTGGCAGCATACCTCCATACTGGACTGGCCAAGAACACCTCTAACAGAAAAACTCAGCCCAGCCATCTATGGTCCCATCCCTTCTTGTAACCACCCATTAGTCTGCAGCAAGACATCAATGTTTCAGCTGAGGTTGCAGATTCAAGGTAGAGCACTTGCCTGGTATGCAGGAGGCTATAGGTTCTTTTTCCCAAGGAAAAAGAAGGCCCAAACATAGAATATGTCCCACATAAAAAGAGAACAAACATGGGGTCTGAGTCAGTGGGACATTCAGAGAGATGTAGGTTCAATGCAGCCACACTTACCTGTTACTCCTTACCCTTGCAGTGCATCAGTGGATATCCAATAATGAGTGAGAAAAGGCCATCCTCACACACTTGGGTAAAACATTATAAAACTAGACACTACAATACCAACTCCACTCCAACTGGGCTCCATAGGCAAGAGTAAATACTAATCAAGTCAGACATACCTATAGTCCCCACATTTGGGAGAATGAGGCAGATTGAGAGCTCAAGGCTAGTGGGAGCTAAAAAAATAAAAATTAATAATAATAATATGTTCTAAAACTCAGAGTAAAGAGTTATAATACAACACAGGCTTAAACTTTTTTTGTTTGAGTAATGGCACTTATGTCAGAAGTGTAAGGTTTTTTTTTTTTTTCAGAAAAACAATGCTACTATTTCATGTTTTTAGCTGTGAACACAAACCAGATTCCTTTGTTAACCAAAGTCCCAAATGACTTAGTTTTAGAAAAAGAATTCTCAAGTGCACTAAATCAAACACAAAGATCAAAGGACAAACTCTCAAGCTAATGCTAGCATTGCAGATGTTATAGTAACCTTGCCCAAGTTCTACTCCATCTAAGAACTCTCTTCAGCATGGCTAGCAATTAGTGTCTGCACATACCTTCCCCCAAAAGCAGACCGTTTTCATTACCAGAGAAATATGATTATTAGACTACTCCTCTACACCTCCCTGGAGATAGCATCTGTTATTTCCTACAAGATGTAAATAAAGACTTCTGTCATTGTCCCTCTTTTCACAGGCTAGCTAACTGAAACTGCTTGATGCAGACTGATGGCCCTTATAAGCCCTCCGTGAGCACTGTACAGCCAACTAAGAGTTCAAGGCTACTTCCTATAGGTAGTTGTAAAATCAGCCCAAGAGGACCACGAACAGACTCAGAGAGCTTATGTAGTCGCAGTGAAATGAAGTGGGAACTGGCTGGGGGGGATGGACTACTCTCAGCATTTCAGTCTGCCTTGCTCTGCAATGTCCCTAACTAACTTAGTCCTAGATGGACCCTGTCCAGCCTGGAGAAGTGCCATGAGACACCAATTCTATCACTACTGGACAGCAGAGACTGCCTGGTCAAACATGTTCAAATTTTTCCACAAATTCCTTTCTCTAAGAATCTGCTGTTATTTTAAGGCCAGGGGCAGGCTCTTCTCATATGTAAATGGGTTCCTAATCAGTATTTAAGCAAGCTAGGGATATGTGGGAGGGCAGATACAACACTTCACCAACCTCCAGGAGACCAGACTGACACCCCCAGGAAAAAGAGCACTGCTGGAGCTTGGAGAGATGTCCTGGATAAAGGATTTCTAGAGGTTGAGTCAGGCCTGCTTCCCACCCTGACAGCTGACAGCGAGAGAGAGCAGTGCAGCCTGACCAGGAAGGGCATGGCCAGCACAAAGGAGCCGAAGCACACCTCCATTCTATGCCGGGCTGCAGCTCTGCTACTCCAGAGGACAATCAGACAGGAGTCTTTGCTTACTAACATTGTTTAAAGCAGAGCGTTTCCCCCTCCCCTGAGCATTTCTTAGGCCATTAGTCCTGTACTGAGAAAATAAATACAGCTCAGTCAGAGCAAGCAGCATCACTCTTATCTAGCACGATCCTCTTTGGTCCCTGGAGGAAGTGGAGAGTGGCCTAGGGCAGCTAGTAAACAGCCTCTTTCCATCAGTAAGTGTCAGATACACAGCTAGCTAGCAAGAGTAGTGCCAGGAAGAGGGACGGCCAGCTCTTCATTCCTTGTCAGACCACTGTAAAACTGGAACACGGCCCAAAAGGAAGACAGCATATTGTCCAAAGGGATGAGAATACTACAATATTTTAAAGGTTCAATGTGGAAATGAAAACATGACAATTTAAATAGAAAGCTAACAGTGCTGCTATCTGAGGAAGAAAAATTTAGGATTAAAACAAACATGGAAAAACGTCAGAAACTCATCTTAAATTTCTGACAAAAAGCTAAGAAACCAAGTTTGGAATTCTAGAAATATACAGTTACTTATGAACAGACACCTTTAAAAGTTGAGAGCCACCTAGCAGGAAGCTGGTATTACACTCAAAGACAGACTGAAAGCACATGACATTTCATTAATGTTAACATTCTTTGTTTACATAAAGCGTTCAGAAATTCAAGAAAGCTTTTTGGCTTAAATAATAACTGGTATAAAGGACCACTCTAAATCTACAGAGTACAGGAACTTCCGTGGGACCTACTCCCAAGAGCATACTTCCCTTCTTCATTGCTACATTCATGAAGGAGATTAAAAACAAAGTAAACATAAAATAAGAACAATCTTTGGTTTCCTTGTCATCAAAGTACTTTGCTGAAGGAAGACAGTCCCCAGATAAGTCGCCTTCTATGCTCACAGGGCTGTGACAAGGCTGCTGGGCTCTAGAAGAACAAGACATTTATGCTAGATCAAGATTATCACCTGACACTTACCTATAAACAGATGGCAAGTGATTGGATGCATGGAACTTCAGGCATGAAGCAAGCAGTTAATTACACCAAGCTTGAGTTTGTGAGCACACAATCACCAAGTGCCTTGCCTTTCTACATTGGCTTCATAACAAATAGTCTTAGAACTTAAAACAGAGTTCATAGACCTCACTAAACTAAGTTATGCAAAATCTGTGATCTTGAGAAGCTGCTGCCCATACAGTTACCAGACAGACATTACACATACTTTGGGCATATCAAAAATATTTACATTGTAGCCAACACACAAGGTCAATGAGTAGAAAAATTATTTATAAATGCACATATATTTACAATTAACACCCCTGGTTAAAGGGCCAAACAAATATACAACACATACACACAAAACCCGCAAGAATACAAAAGGCTTTGTCTGGTACCAGTCAGCAAAACTTGGATTCTAGCTGAAGACCTTGAATATCAAAGCTCAGCCTCCACTCTGTACTCAACACCACAGGAATCCCAGTCAGACTTAGAAGAGCTTGGGCAATACCTCTGCTCCTTGCCTTCTAAGGCAAAGTAGAATATCAAAATAGTGATGCTTTCTTATGAGCATTCTGAGGACTGGAGCAAGCCAGTCATCTAAGCAGCAATGACACTCTTCATGACAGGCAGTGCACATGTGGGCACATCCCTGTAGGGCCATCTGCAAGAACATTTGACTGTATCATCTTTTGCCAGGCTGTGTACTCTCAACATGGTACACATTTCTGTGGTACATTTCTGTCAGCCACTACCTTTTCTTCGTCAGGTGTTAAGCCCAAACAAACATCAGGGCTACTTTGGTGTTGTTAAGATATTAATTCGAAGCAAAGAGTAATGCAAATGCTGACTTTGGGGGTTCTTCTCAGCTCTGAGGTAGCAAAGTAACTAACTTGAGTCTCTGTTGAGATTTCTTCCCTGGAGCACCTTCATGTGCCCTCACTACCGTCTTGAATGTTCCGAGTCCTACTGAAATCGAAAGTGTGGTCATGTAACCTGTGGCAGGACACAGGTGAAGAGCAGTTTGGATCTCTCTCTGCCAGGCCCTCGTGTTGCTGAAGCTGTGGTGTCTCAAGGACAGGCTGCTGGGAAAAGGGAGGTAGGCCTACTTCTCTGTTCATGTTCCACAGAGGCCGCTGAAATATTTCTGGGAATGAATGAGAGACAAGAAATATCATTAATGACAATGGGAATTACAACATTAATGTCCTAAAGCCTGATATCCTATTTCTTTTTTTTTTTTTTTTTTTTTTTTTTAATATGTATGGGTGCATCACATGTGTGTCTGGTGCCCAAAGAGGCCAGAAAAGGGACTTAGATCTCCTAGAACTGAAGTTACAGATGGTTGTGAGCTGTCATGCTGGTATTGGGAATGAAACCCAAGTTCTCTGTAAGAGCAACACATGCTCTTTATCTCTAAGCCATCTCTCCAACCTGATATCCTTTTAACCCAATCACCAAAAGAAGTAAAGATGCCCAGCATTCTTGATAAAGACACTGAGATCACAATGCCAACATAAAAAACAAGATAAAAACTGGAACTATGAACTACCAATCCTTTATATTCAACAGAACTAACAAGCTAGTTTTTGAAATCATGCTGCTGCTTTTCACCTGTTATTGTAGTAGCTTTTCTGCTTTGAAAATTATGTTGGCTAGTTTCATGTCAACTTGACACAGGCTCAGGCTGAAATCACTGGAGAGAATCTCAATTAAGAAAATACTCTGCCAGGTGGTGGTGGTGGTGCATACCTTTAATCCTAGAACTCTGGAAGCAGAGGCAGACAGATCTTTGTGAGTTCAATGCCAGCCTGGTCCAGTTCCAGGACAGCCAGAGCTACACATAGAGAAATCCTTTCTTGCAAAGCCAAAAAGAAAAAAGAAAATACCATAAGATGGGATTGTAGGCAAGTCTGTAAGGCATTTTCTTAATTAGTGATGGGGAAGGCCCAGCCCATTTTAGGTGGTGCCATCCCTTAAGTGATGGTTCTGGGTTTTATTTAAAAAAATGAAAGGAAAAAAAAAAAAAAAAAAAAAAAAAAAAAAAGGCAGGCTATGGGGCTGTGGAGATGGCTCAGTGGTTAAGAATATTGCCTGCTTTTTAGAGGACCCAGGTTTCAATTCCCAGCACCCACATGGCAGTTCACAATTGTCTAACTCCAGTTCCAAGGGACCTGACACCTTCACATCAATGTACATAAAATAAAGTTAAATTATATTTTAAAAAAGGCAAGCTAAGGCTAATGTGGGATATTTTAATCACACTCTGACATTCCCAAGATTGCCCAATAAAGATATACCTTGAATCAAGGGGCAGAGCCAGTGACTAGCTAACTGGAATTGGCCACAGAGAATACAGCAATTTGGATAGAGAAGACGCACGGGAAAAAAGGATGGGAACTAGAGTCTGAATTCTCTTGGTTCTGGGATAAGGGAAGAGACGTGTCTTTTGTGGTGTCGCTATCAAAAGCAAGGTTGGCTAGGTGATCTTCAGCATCTCTGAGCTAGCAGGTTTTTACCCCAGCCTTTGACTTCTGAGTCTTATTGATAAATAGAATGATAGAGACTTAACCATAGCCACAAGACCAGAAGCCCCACCAGGCCACAGCCTGAGTGTCCATGAGGTACCGACTGAGGGACTATGGGGCAGCAAACAATAATTAAAATATCAGTAGATTCACGTGCACCTGATAAACCAGCAGAAAAACATGAGGCTGTACAAGCCACGAGGAACAAGCCAGTAAGCAGCACCCCTCCATGGCCTGCGCATCAGCTCCTGTCTCCAGGTTCCTGCCCTGCTTGAGTTCTTGCCCTCATTGCTTTTGATGATGAGCTGTTATATGTAATCATAAGCAAAACAAACTCTTTCCTCGACAAGTTGCTTTGGTCATGGTATTTTATCACAGCAATAGAAACCCTAACCAAGACAAAAATATAGTACAAAAGTCTAGACACAAGGAAAGGAATATTGTAATGACAGTTTCATGATACACAGACAATAATCGCAGGTTCAGTGGAGGTGTCACTTCTTTAAATACATTTAAATTTTTTATTTTATATGTATGGCTGTTTTCCAGTATGTCTGTGTACCACATGTACCTGGTGTCTGAGGAGGTCAGATGAGGGCATCAATCTCCTGGAACTAGAGTTACAGGCAGTTGTGAGCCACCTTATGGGTGCTGGGAACTGAACCTGGGTCCTCTGGAAGAGTGGCCAATGCTATTAACCAGTGAGCCATCTCTCAAGCCCAATGGTTCTCAACCTGTGAGTCCCACCCACCTCTTCATCTATCTGATATCCTGAATATCAGATATTTACGTTAAGATTCATAACAGTAGTAAAAGTACAGTTATGAAGTAGCCACAAAATAATTTTATGGTTGAGTCACCCCAACATGAGGAACTATATTAAAGGGTCACAGCATTAGGAAGGTTGAGAACTACTGCTATAGTCCCTCTTTAAAAATGTTTTAAAAGCTGAGTGTGGGGCCTAAGGTATGGCTCGGTTGTTAAAGCAGCTTGCCACACAAGCTAGGGACTTGAGTTCAAACCCCAGAACACACATAAAGGCAAAAGGAGAGAACTGACTCCACAAATTTGTCTTCTGACCTTGTTATGCACTCTGCGGCACATTCCCCAACACATACAATGACAATACATAAAGTTAAAAGCCAGGTATGGTAGTACACACCTACAATCCCAGCACTCAAGAGGCAGAGGCAAAACTGCTACAAACTCGAGACTAGCCCGGTCTGCCTTGCGTATTTTTAGCCAGCCAAGGCAAAAAACTTTACAAAATACTGTCTCAAAAAGCCAAAGATAAACAAGTTTTAAAAATAACCATTCTCTCACAACTTCTAGTATATAAAAATCAAACAATAAGAAACAAATAGTAAGCCAAAGTAACTACAATAAATCAGATTATCTGTACTAGTGTCTCAAAAATGTGCATTTCCCAGCCAGGTGTGATGATGCACACCTGTAGCCAAAGCACTGAAAAACTGGAGGTAGGCTCTCTCTCTCTCTCTCTCTTACACACACACACACACACACACACACACACACACACACACACACACACACACACACACCCCTAACATTCTGGAAACAAATACCCACAAATGAAAGCAAAATTCACCTAGAATGTAAGCCAGGGCAGAAAATCTCCAGGAATGGCTCACTGGGTAAGAGGATTTGTTGTGAAAGCAAGAAGACATGAGTTCAAATTCCTAGCACTCATAAAAAGCCAGGCAAGGAATTCATGTATGACTGTAACTCCAACATTGAGGAGCGTGACAAGAGGATCCTGAGACCTTGCTGACTAGTCAGCCTAGCTTGAACAGCAATCTTCAGGTTAACAAAGTGATCCTGTCTCAAAAAATAAAAGCAACGGATGATGACTCTAGACATTTTCCTTTAGTCTCCTCATGCATGTGTCTGTACATGAATGCATACAGATCTCACACACAAACACAAACAAAATTTAATACAAGCCATATGAGGTGGCTCATGCCCATAATAATTCCAGCATTTGGCTGTTATCTCAGTCCTTAGAAGTCTAGGCAGGAGAATTAGTGTTGGATATGAGCATGGCACCATCACACACACACAAACACACACACACACACACACACACACACACACAGAAAGCATAGAAATCTAACAAGTTCTAAGATAATGATAATGGATCCCAGCACATACTGTAAAATTAATTAGGATACTCTAGGCAAAGAATGAACAATCTAAGGCAGTCTCTCATTTGCTCATCTCTATACTTAAACTCAGATTCAAGTAAAGATTTCCCACAGGTTATAAGAGGTATTGTACTTTAGTTCTTTCAAGACACTGAATGTAAAGCTAAAAGACTACTTTAAATAACAGTGCTCTTTTCTGACCTATACCTCTTGGGGATCTTTAGAACTGGTCTCTTACAGAGCACATCTTCAATCTCATGTTAGATCATTTATTGCTGCCAGAAAAGACCCTGGAAGCAACACTTACCTTATTCTGTGACCTTGCAATTTTTGTTCTGTGCCCCATTCCCCGTGTTCTTCCTCTAAGAGGAAATGACAGCTAATTGGTTCAGAAGGAGCTTTGTTTTGTGGATATGGGTAATGTGATGCCGAGATTGCTTACCCGACAGAAGAGCAACCAAGCAAAACATTTTAGGCTTCTCCTGCCGTATGTTCAGCACTTCAAATCTCCATTATTTAAATGAAGATAAGACCTCTAGTTGACACTAGTTAACAATGGCAATTATTCCAGTATACTAATTTGTTTGTTTCTTGTGAAATGCGTGTGCTACCAATTCAACAGAAGGGCAGATCAGGTGAAAGTGAAATCAAAAGCTCAGAGAGAAACAAAAACTCCCATTACCATTGCTCCTCTGTGAGAAGGGAAGCTTCTCATTCATCCTTTCATGGTTTGTGGGAAAGGCAGGCAGTTCTCTCTCTGTTGATGGTATCAGACTCTCCAGAGCAGCAGCATCTTGGGGAGGATGTGACAAAAATGTCTCTTTGGGCATCTGAACCATGAGGCTGGACAGGGTCTGGTCTAAAACATCCTCCTCAGCAATATAGGTGTATGGACAGTATTCTCGGGTCCTTGAGTAGATGTTGGCATTGTCATAACAATCTGAACAGATCACCCGGGAACCAGTGCCACCTAATAACAACATGGGAAAGAACCCAAATGCTTTTCTGTTAAGGCATAGTTTTGTCATAATCAACTTTCTTTTAACAGTTGTAGCATTTACTGCATACTTACTTTATAAACCATGTGAAATTTCAAGGTCTTTATGCAAATTATCTCAGTTTTTCCTCACAACATCCCTACGGAGCACATACAATTCTCATCTCCATTTTAAAGAGTTATGATAGAAGGAAGAGCTAAAAATGCAAACTTAAGCACTCTGGCTGAGCCCATGCTCTTGAATTCTAATGTTAAATCTCTATCTAGCCTGGAGAGTCTAAACTCCAACCACAGGGTCCAGGCCTGTCTTGGACACAGCTTGGCTTGAGCAAACTAAAACAAATAAGGTGTTACCATAACATTAGAGCCCATGTTACTTTTATGAGTCAAGAAGTTAAACAACAGTATCTGCTCACACTATCCCTAGTAAATTCACCCTCCTGTGTCTTGTCTCTTTCTACAGAAGTGAGGGTGTGAGGAGGGAAGGCAAAAAGAAGTTCTAGTCACTTTACTAGGGATGGTTTTATAGCCCTCTGAAGCTCTCCATTATAGGCTGAAAGTCATTTTTCCCTTTAAAATGTACTAAGTATCTACTTGTCAGCAGGACAACCAAATGTCCTTTGGATGTTATCTGAAGGAAATTCATCTCTAACAGGTAAGAAACACTTGAAAAGAGTTTCTAGAAATCCTCTTCAGGAGCCTCAGCTGTGTCCTTCAATCCCTGTTTAAGGGTAATGTGTTTCTTTTGTAAGATGGCCTTCTTCTCTGGTTAAGGCTTTATAGTCAATTTTCATTCCATTTTGCATGAAGTTAAATGTTCTAAGTATTTTTCTTAAAATACTGCTTCAGGTTCATGGAAAAACTATACAATGAGCAATAAACCCACTAGAACAGTCTGAAATTGTAACTATGAACAGCAAAGTGCCTACCGTCGGTGCCTTTGTGTATGTATCCATTGGCAGGAGGCATAAGTTGCTGATGACTGCCTGCCTCAGAGTTGCTGTAGCCTTCCTGTGGTTCAGACAGTGTTCCTTGGGAAGACAAATAGCTGGGAATGTCTGCAGGCAAATTAAGTTCCTCTGTAAAGAGACATCTGTAACTCTCAAACTCAGGCAGTTAAAATCAACACTCAGAAGGCAACTTTATAAATGTTCCACTTTTACACTGGCCTGGAAAATGGTATGGACTTGGGACCTTAACAGCTCTTCATCCTTCCCTAACATTCTTCTTGGAGTCTCATTTTATATTTTTGGTTGTGAGCCTAGCCTTTAATGGCTGAACCACCCTCCAGTCCTAGAGTCTCATTTTAGAAGTGTGACTTGGTTTGCAAGTGCAGTACTGCGGTAAAGTGCTTGCTAAACATGTACAGGCTACTGGGAGAGGGCTGGGGTGAGGGGTTACCAAAAGAGAAACACTAAAGATTAAAATCTTGTCTAAAGCTACACTTTCATGAGCTCTCCATCTGGATCCCCTCCCTTGCAGATCCTGGGGTGATTGGGGTAAAAGACCTACTCACTCAGAAGGTTCAACTTTCCCCTAAAACAAATTATGGTGGAAAGGAACCTTAGGCTCTAAAGAAAGAACCAGCAAAAACAAAACAAAATGTAACTCTGCTAGGCATGCTTCACCACACCTGTAATCCCAGCACACTGGAGGTGGAGGCAAAGGATCACTGCAAACTCCAGGCCAGTTTGTGAGTTCCAGGTCAGCTAGGGCCATACACTGAGACACTCTCAAAAGAACAGAACAAACTGGGTTTGATGGCGCATGCCTTCAATATCAGCACGCTGGAGGCAGACGCTGGCAGATCTCAGAGGTTAAGGCCAGCCTGGTCTAGAGAACAAGTGCTGATAGCCAGGGATACACAAAGATCCAAACAAACAAGAAAATACACCTGTAATATAATTCTGAGAGCTAAATTTAGGGGGAAGTATATATAGTATATAAGAATTTTAAAAACTATTTCCCCAAATAGGTTGTTATCTCAAGGAAGCTGGGTATTTTATCAGAAAAACTTCCTTATATCTCTTATCAAGTAATCAATCACAGTACTCCAGCTTTTTTATTTTTTACTAAATCCTACATTCCTAAGAATATGCCATGTGTCGTCTGGGTACACTTACCTGTATTTGTGATACTGTAGTCTTCATTCTTCCTTCTCATGTGGTAAATAACAATAACCCAGATCAAAGAAGTGCCCACGACACAGCAGACCACAACAATGATGACAATGCCAACTGTGGTCCAACCATCATCCTCATGTCCAATGCTATTCTGAGAAGAGTCACAATTGGGGGATGAAATGACATTTAAGTAAATATGTCCCCGTTCTGTCCCAAGAGTATTAGACATAATGCAGGTATATTTTCCAGCATCTTCTAGCCCAGCATCTACAATGATGAGAAGCTGATTGGCTGCAGCAAAGAAGTGTCGTTCTGTTACTAAGAGCGGTCCATCATCTTTGGTCCAATTGAGGCGAGGAGCAGGACTCCCTCCAGCTATGCACTGCAATACTGCCGTTTCACCTCGGGTGACGGTCTTGTCCTCAAGAGGTCTAATGAATGAGGGTGTCTCTAATAGGAGGTTAAAAATACTAAGTTAAGAAAATGATACCCTAAATCCTATAGAACTAAGATTATTAAGAGTATGATGAAATGCGGAGTTTCATGAAAATTTAACAGTTAATGTTTCAGAAACACAAAAGCCTCAAAAAAGAAAAAAATCTAAATATGAAGCGGTGGTGGTGCCTAGCTATAAATATACCTACTCTACTCAGGAGGTCAGAGCAAAAAGATCACAAGTCTACATCCATCTCAGCAACTTAACAAGATCTATCTCAAAAAGAAATTGAAGTAGAGCTGAGATACTAGCTCAGTACAGCACTGGCCTGACACACACAAGCCAGAGCTATTAGTACTGGGATTTCTGCTGTTTCTGAGGCAGGTTCTCAACTATATAAGCTGACCTAGAACTCTTGATCCTTCTGCCTCAGCCTCCAAGTTAACACACTTCTTTTAAAGATTTTTGACCATCAGGTCAGAGTGGCTCACCTGTAACACATAGTGAGTTCTCTAGGGTTTTAGAGGGAAGAGAAGACGACCCCATAAAACTCTGGTATCTAAGAAAACAGAGGCCTCAACTGAACAATTTGCCTTGGATTAGAATGACATAAATAACATGTTTTAGCCAGGTGGTAGTAGCACACACCATTAATCCCAGCACTTAGGAGGTAGAAGAAGGCAGATCTCTGTGAGTTCTGGACCAGCCTGGTCTATAGAGTATGTTCCAGGTCAGCCTAAGAAACTCTGTCTCAAAAAACAAACAAGCAAAAAAGTTATTATTAAAAAAAGAAAAGGAAAGAAAAATCACACCAAAACCTCCAAATTGTTCTTCTTGCTTTTCAAGGTCATGCGTAGCTCTCAGAGGCTCCAGAAGGGCCTCAAAGCAAACATACCTAACACAGTGAGTGAGGCATTTGCTGAGAGGCCTCCTGCTATATTCTGTGCCATGCAGCTGTAGATTCCCATGTCTTCTATCTTCACATTGGCAATGAAGAAGACATCATCCTCAGGCATGACATGCATTCGTCTTTCTCGAGCTGCAGGAAAGTCAGTGCCACCATCTTTCTGCCAGGAAATCTGAGGTGCAGGGTGCCCCTCTGCAGCACATTCTAATCTGGCCATGGCACCAGTGCGAATAGTTAGATCCATTGGAGTCTTCAGAAAAGACGGCATCTCTATTCAAAAACATTACAGAAAAAGTAGACAAAAGGAAAACATGCAGAGGCACACAAATCTAATAACCTAACAGACAAAATTCTGATGTACAATAATGCTCCATTTCTTTGAGAAAACATATTCTCTGGATTGACAATGACACCAGCTTTTGAAAGCACATTTCCCCAGCACCTCAGCTTGTAGAGCACAGTAGCAAAGTACTTCTAGAGTACATGCCATGACTATCTGACCATGCTATATGGGAAGAATGAAATCAGAAAGCCAAAATCTTTCCTGCAAGCCAGTTTAGAACTTGAAAGTTAAATGAGTTTCCCTAATCTAACATCAACAGGTGTCAAGGGAACCACAGGGATTTTTTTGTTCATTTGAATTATGCTTTTATAAACCTAATTTATGAAACAAAGGAGTGGGGTATGGAGCTGCAGAGTTGGCTCAGTAGTTAAGAGCACTTACTGCTCTTGCAGGACTCAGGTTCAATTCCCAGACCTACATGCTAGCTCATAACTGTCTGTTACTTCAGTCTCAGGAGATCCAATGCTCTCTTCAGGCCTGCATGGCCACCAGGCATGCATGTGGTACATGAAGGCAAAGCATTCATACACATAAAATCATAAAAATCTTTTAAAAAGCTGGAATTTTAAAAAGAAATAGAAGCACAAGTATATCTTTTGGTTACTCATAGCCTAAAATACTATAGTTATTCAATCTCATAGACAATAAACCAAACTGCTTTGGAAAACTTTTTAATAACCACTAAAAGAGTATTTGTTTTAAAATGATTGTGGCTATATTCAGAGAACTACAGAAGCCACTGGACCTGGAGATGTTCTAAACACAGTGAACTTATTGCAAAAAAAAAAAAAAAAATCCATACTTTTTAGAAAATTGTGGTTTTGAAAAGACCATCAAAAGAATGTCGTCAGGAGAAACAGAAATGGAAGTAAGTATCTCCTAGGGCAAAGAATGTAGGTCAGTATAACAGAGATAGATATGGGGGTTCACCATCAAGCTGAAGATCAGAAAAGCAAAGCAACTGACCACTAGCTGTTAAGCTCTACCTCAGACTGAAGGGGCAACTATGTCCCTCTGACTGCTTCTCCAAACTGCGCTGCTCTCCACCAAGCCTCAGACTGCAATCCTAGACTGCTATGCTCTCCTCAATGTACCTGAAGATTAACTTCTCATCAGACCCTTTGCTTCTTCCTTTTACACATCTCAAATCTTGGGATTAAAAGCATGGGATCCCAAGTGCTGAGATCTCCTTTGTGTGAACTATTTCTCTTTAGGACTAGATCAATTTTGTGTAGCTCAGTGTGGCCTTGAACTAAGAGATCCATCTGTCTGTCTTCTGAGTCCTGGGATTAAAGGTGTATGCCACCACCAGCTAGATGGCTAGCTAGTATGGCTGCTGGGATTAAAAGTGTTTATCACCACTGTCTGAACGCTATAGCTTGTTGATAGCTTTGCATTCTGAACATTCAGGTAAGCTTTATTAAATCATAAATAATGTATCACCACAGGACAGTAAGTAAGCGGGTAATCCATATGCCACAATCAAGAGAAAATAATACTAAGAGCTCTCTCCAAGAATGGGGCATGACCTAATTTTCTTGGTTAAGTGACTAAGTTTTTCAAAGTACTTTTGCCCATCAGAATGGCCAGATAGGAATGGCATATATTCTAGAAATATATAAATAAGTAAAAAAGTAAGTATTTCACTTTATCTTAGGTTAGCTTTAGCCTTCTGGAACAGCCATTCCTTGCCCTACTCTATATATACTAACACCTCATTGGAATAAATAAAAGCATCTTAGAAGCCATTAATTTAGTACAACATTAGCTTCTACCAATTCAAAAGCTAAGAAAGTCATCAGATAGCATCTTGGGCCTATAGAATAGCTCCTCCCATCTCACTGTACCTGCCTCTCTGGTGTAGTGAGGTAGTCCTTCTATAGCACTGACCACGCCCATTGGGGGGTGGAGCGATGGGCGGAGAGGACCTGAGGAAGGAGGTCGGAGGGGGCCAGGAAGGCGCTCTCTCTTGCTGGCGTGACTCGGACAGGAGAGGATCGGGTTGAATTTCCTGGTGTTCATCTGTCTAGGTTGTAAGTTATTTCTCCCTGAATAAACATCTATTCGGCCTATTTGTTTATCCTGATCCTTATTTACCGCAATACCCACTAATGTATTTTAAACTTTCCTTGATTTATGATTTTCTTTGTCCTATAAAATTAATAAGTAAATAAACCCCTAAACGATAGATAGATAGATAGATAGATAGATAGATAGATAGATAGATAGATAGATAAAGCTGGGAAACTATTTCCACATTGGATGATGGAATATGCCATAATCTACATCTGTGTTCCTGGGCCACAGTCACTCAAAACAGCTCCAGAATGAACTAACTCTTAGTCCCTTTAAGATGAGAACTGTGTCAGTCTGTGATAGACTTTGATGGTCCTCCATAGAAGGCCTTACCCTCCCTGGGAAGCAGAAAGGGGATGAGAGGAAGAGAGTGGATGGGGGGAACTAGGATTCATATGTAAAATAAGATTGTTTCTAATTTAAACAAAAAAGAAATAAAAAAAAAAAAAAGTAAGTATTTCAAAGGCCAAGTAGCACAATTCCTTACCATTCACAGTCAGTCTGGCTTTCTGTGAATAATTAGAGCCAAAGTGATTAGTAACAATACACTGGTATTTCCCTTCATCTGTGAAGTTCACACTGAAGAGGTGCAATACACTGGTATATTCCAAAGCTTCTCCATCCTGCTGACGATAACGAACAAAGTTCTCAACATCCACATCATACAGGATCTCACTGTCCTTGCGCCACACAGTGGACATGGGTGAATCACTGCTGCTCACTGCAGTGCATGTCAGAGTCACGTTGACACCCCTTAAAGCAACTGTGCTTTCGGGATGTGTCCTTATCTGAGGCTTCAGAAAATCATCTAAAATGAATAAATCCAATAGTGGCCAAGTCAATTATTTACTTTTACTTCAGACTCAATTTTCAATTTTTCTTAGTGGTTATTTTATATCTACTAAAAGTCTCCACATAAAAAAAGAAAAAAACTTGATACACAAGTCTTACTGTATCCTAAAGTTAATAATTCCCCTCAAATTAAAGCCAACTTTCACACTACCACTTAAAGCCAATGAGAAGGCAGCATTGAGAAGGCAACATTGAGAAGGTCCTTGAGTTAATACAAATAAGAACAATATGGAAAACAACTGTTTATGAAACACTAAGTCAAAGAACACAAAATGTAGCCTGTATTTGCAAAAGTAATCAATGTGACATGGTTTAGAAAACAGCACCATAAGGTCATAAGATGAGCTGTCAAAAGCCATTTGGGGTGGGTTTTTGTTTGTTTGTTTGGTTGGTTGGTTGGTTCATCCTCTGTATTTTGTTAACAAAAGTTGAAAATTTTTAAAACAGAAATACAAACCACAGACAAAATCTTTCAGGTCCACATTCAGGATGCTTTGTCCTGCTAACCATTCAGGATGTGCACAGCTCACATTCACAGAGTGATGAAAGTTGTTATCCACCAGCCACTGAAGTAGCCACTTCAAATGACAATCACAGAGCAAACTGCTTGTGTTCAGAACACTGCAAAAAGAAAGGAAGAGAACCCTTCATTTTAGCTTTACTCTAGTTTCTTCAGTATAAATTTACTACACATTTATGCATTTGCTTGTTCAAAAAGTCCATCTATTTATAAGAAAACAAATTCAGACAGCCTTAATAATATGAGTGTTATGAAAAACATCAAAAAAGACTGAAGGACAAGAGAACCATTTTAAAGACAAGAGCCACTGCAGTGGAATGAAATGCATATGTGCATGTGTGTTTGTTTGTTCTGAGACAGTTACTATACTACCCAGGCTGGCCTCAAATTTACAATCTCAGATATATGTCATGACTTCTAAACAGGGAGGGATGTGTGTGTGTGCGTGTGTGCGTGCGTGTTTTGCTTGCTTGTTTGAGACAGAGACTCATATATTCCAGGTTAGCTTTTAGCTCACTGTACAATCAAGGATGACCTTGAACTTCTTTTTGCTTCCAACTCCCAAATGCTGGGATTACTGGTGAGTGTGCAACACCACATCTGGTTTAACACAGTACTGGGGACTAAACTCAAGAATTTCTCAGGCATGCTAGGGAAGCACTTTATTTCTGATATGGGGAAAATTTGAAGATGAGCAATCTACTAGATACTTTAATTTTGTAAATGATGGGAGATGTCATTCTATAAATATGTTTCTCTTATTGGTTAATGAATAAAACACTATTGGCAAACAGGAAGGCAAGATAGGGGAGACTAGGAAAAGGAGGATTCAGGGAGATGTAGGAGAAGAGAGTCAAGATGTAGGGGCTTGAGAGGAAGAGGTCCAGACCCTCTCTCCAGTAAGACATGTTAATAGTTAGATTGATAGAATTGGGTTAATATTTAAGACACAGCTAGCCAATGAGAAATGCTAATAGCAGGCCAACAACTTTATTATCAAATAAGGCGTTTCTGTATTATTTGAGGTTAACACAGCTGTGGGACCAGGCTGGCAGGAAAACTGCTCTTACAAAATAGCACCTACAACGTGGGTACTAAAAACTTCCACTGAAAACATGACAAAAGCTTAAAAAGGGATTTTAGAAACAAAAGAACAGAGACTAGCAAAGCTTCTTAGTAGCAGCATTGTTCTCAGTTGGGCTCTGTTTTGCTAGAGACAAGCAGAGACTCACAAGACTCCTTTAATGGGAGGTTTCCTGACTCAGCATAAGCAGCAAACCCTGCTAACAACTTAATGGTGTGTAAGAGAGCTGGCAATGGCAGTGACCACATTTCCAAGCAGACAGCATGCTGCTTGATGGCATCATAAATCAAGGTGGTGAGCACAGCTCTCAGTGCTGGTGCTAAACGTATCCCTGCCATCTTGAAAAGCAAAGTTGTTTAGCAGATAAAAGACTTGTGGCCAGAAAAAGACAAAGATTTACAGTAAAGACAGATTCACATTAAGAAAAACCTCTAAAGGTTTACAGTGTATTTTAAAATATGCGTAGGCCTAGCAGAGAAAAAGAAACAGGATAAAGTGGTTTAAAAAAGAGAGTAGGTAGGTGTGGTGGCACATCCCTTTAATTCCAGCACTTGGAAGGCAGAGGCAAGCACATCTCTGTGATTTCTAAGCGAACCTGGTATACAGAGTTAATTCCAGGACAGGCAAAAGTTACACAGAGAAATCCCATCTCAAAAAATGAAAAAAAAGAGAAGTAGAAGAAATAGAGTAATAAAAAAAAGCCACGTTAAGATGGAAAGCACACAAAGTGTCTGGATACTGTATGCTATTGTGTTGTCTTTGTATTGTTTGCCAGCTGAGGAAATAGCAACAACTGTTAAAATAAATGCTGCTGGAGTAATCCAATTTACATATTTTAAAAATGCTTTGACTTCAAAATTTAAGTCTAAAGACAGGTTACTGGGGAAAAGAATTTCTATTTTTGTTTCCACAGAAAATAAAAGCTATGGATTCTTTCCAGATTAACATGGTTTGATCAAGCAAGACCCCCTGAAGCAGTGTCCCAGGTGATCCAACATTCAAAAGAACTGGGACAAGGCAGACCACTACAGCCAGGACTTTTTCGTCTTCTTAGGATCCCCCCAAGACAGTGCCCCCTACCAGCAGGAAGCAGTTTGGAAAGAACGACACCCAAATTCCCAAATATTGTCTATAAATGTTTATTTTCATTTAAATGGGGTTGGTTATAAATGGTTAATGATCACAACCCATCTCTTTTTAAAGGTAAAAAGGGGATTATGGCATAGAAATGAATACTTTGTTTTGGAATAGATTTTCATTTATTGATACAAATTTAAGTTCAATTTTGTGATAGGTATATTTCTCCTTGTTTAGGTATTGTGTTTATATAGTTCATTTAAAAATGTAATGCATAATTTAGTACAGATTATAAATAGTTACCTATAATAGTAATATATTTCAAATGGCTAGACATTCTTCAAACCTTTCAAAGACCTACAGAATGTGGCATTTAAAATGGTTTAGGATTTTTCTCAACAGTGAGGCACAACTGCTCCTGGCAACACCAACTGCATCAGAGAGGAAGATGGACATTGAAGAAACTCAAAAGAGAAAAGAAAAAAAAAAAAAATGCCAAATTTTTAGGAAATACATGGCCAGCTATTCAGGAGTAAAGTATCATGGCTGTATTTTTTATTTTAATGTGTATGTATATGTACCATGCCATGTGGGCCTAGTGCCTGAGGAGGTTTGATGGAGGTATCAGATCCCCTGAAACTGGAGAAACAGGTAGTTGTGAGCTATCATGTGGGTGCTCAGAACCAAATCTGGGTTCTCTATAAAACCAACAAGTGCTCATAACCACTGAACCAACTCTCCAGCCCCTCGATATCTTTCTACAACTTTTAAATGGTCTGAAAACAATAAAAGTCTTTTATGTGTACAATATATACACAAAAACTCTGTATGTGTAGTGAGTGCAACGGTGACAGTGAGAAAAGAAAGGAGAATGGGGTAAGTTTGTCAGAAGGTTAATAATTGGCACATCCGGGTTGAAAGGTATGTGGATAGCCATGTGCCATCATTATATTCCTGAGGCTTAAAATCTTGAATCATGGGCAAAAGCTAATCACAGATTTTTAAGCACTGAAGAGCTTTATTGTGGGAAGTACTTTGTTATTTTCAAATTATTTTATCAAGACTGAAAGCACTTCAACCCTCTGGCAATGTATACTTTGACTTTGAATAAGAGCCACTTTAAAAAAAAAAAAAATGTGGTCTATAAAACAAATCCCTTTGAAGAATCAGAGTTTTTCTCTCCGTGATCTCTTGGCAGAGAAAACAAACAATTTGGAGAACACTGCACCTTATTCTTTGTGTATGACTGAAATATTCTATTCTTAACTTGGTAGGAAGGGGGGGGGGGTGTCATGCCACAATGCGTATGTGGAGGTTCTCTCCTTCCACTAATCTGGGAATCCAACTCAGGTCATCTGCCTGGGAGCCTAGAAAGAGCTTAAACCACCTACCCAGCCCTTAAAATATTTTTAAGTCTGCACTTACTAAAATTTCTATGCTTTTTGGTATTCCTCCTCATGCTTTACATAAATATTTTGAGGCTCATTACACATAAATTAAAAGATTTTTTATTAATATTTTATTATGTAATATTCATACATTTTGGGAAAATTTTGTGTGTGTGTGTGTGTGTGTGTGTGTGTGTGTGTGTATACTGTTAGGCTCTCTTGTAGGCAGAGTTGCTGTGTGAGAGGTAGAGAGCAAAAGAAAGAGCAATCATGGTGGTCCACGCCTTTAATCCCAGCACTCAGGAGGCGGAGGCAGGTGGATCTCTATGAGTTCAAGTCCAGGATGGTCTACAAATCGAGTTCCAGGGCAGGGTCCAAAGCTACAGAAAAACCCTATCTTAAAAAACAACAACAAAACAAACAAAAAGAAACCACTGGGTTAAATATTGTATGTGGGCAGTGCTAAATGCTACTGAAATGTTATGAATTTAATACTCAGCAGCTCAAGATGGCCTTAAAATGAGGTACTCCATTTGCCTTAGCCTCTCAGTTGCTAAGATTATAGGCCTAAGTCACCACCCTTGCCTACCAGAGTTTCCTTTTCTTTTTTTTAAAGGAAGGGAGAGGTAATATAACCATTATAATCTCAAAAAATTACACACATACATACATTTGAGGTAAGCACTGTCTGTCCCATTTTTGTAGAAACAGAAACCAAGACTTGAAGACATAGAGAGCTGTGCTTAATGTAGGTAGCAGATTAGGATCTGAAGATGTAGTTATCCCAACTTTGTATAGATAATGTTAACCAGCCCCCAGCCCTATCACAACTCTCCTTAGTACTGAGTAGTGTGAAAATCCACTGCCCATGTCCTCGATGTCATTAACCAGACTTAAAAAGAAAAACCTCAGGAAATTCTGTGAAGGCAAGAAGTATAAGCCTCTGGACCTGTGACCCAACACTAGAGCCATGTGCCATCAAGCACAAAAAGAAGCTGAAGACCAAGAAACAGCAGCAGCAGGAGCTGCACAAGTATGCAGTCAAGGCCTGAGGCAGCCAAGGCAATACAGTGCAAGATTAGCAAAAAAACAAACAAACACTAGGTGGTGTGAGCACTTAATATATTTAATGGGGGGGGGGACATTTTTATGAAAATAAAAACAAGGTTTAGTGGATAATACAAACTTTAAACTCAAGTTTCTAAATCCAGAAAAGATAAGCATGATAGCCATGCCTTTAATCCCAGCACATAGGAGGCTAAAGCAGGAGGATCTCTTTGAGTTCAAGACCAGTCTAGTCTATAGAGTGAGTTCCAGGACAACCAGGGCTACACAGAGAATCCCTGTCTCAAAAAAACCAAAACAAAAGGTACAAAGATTCTTAGACACTGATCTCAAAGCATTCAGAGTTAGGATGAATCTTGGCAACTGTCAGATTTTCCCAGTTTTCCACCCAGCAACATGCAGGAAGATAGGCTATCCCAGATTGATTATGATTACGGCAAATCACCAGCTACAACTAAAAACTTTGACAAAGGGCTGTTTTATTATGTGCCAAGTCATGATGGTGGAGATTAAATGGAAACACCATCTCAGAAAGCTGGAGAGAGGTATGAGAGCAAAGTAGCGGACTCAGAACTCAGTAAAGACCAAATAAATGTGTACTACAGAAACCACAAAGGGCACACTGTAACTTTCCATGAAACTATTCTCTCTACAACCACTCCTTCCCTTTACCCTTGTTTAAAAATTAAGTTGGGTCTCATTAGCTTTGGCTCATTATTTACAGTACAATGAGAATAGTGCTTGCCACAGAGGCCTTTTTGAAATTGCTGGAACTTTTCAAAGCCTCTCGGCAGGCTAGGAAGCCAAGCCAGGAACTGGCCACCAAATACAACCGCTAGTTTTTACCTTCAGGGAATCCTTCTGTCCTAAAGGCTCCCAAAATACTCAGAAGTCTGTGGGACAGCCAGAACATGCTTACTTATAAGGAAAAACTTACAAGTTTCTTTAGGAGCTTTATAAACATCAGTGCCTTAAGGTCAACCTGAGTTCCTTAAAACTCTCTGGTCATACCTGACTTTATATGGCATTCAAATATGACATTCCAGTCAACCCCTCCAACCATATACTGTTAAAGGGGAATATATTCCAATTCACTTTACATAAGAACTATACTGTCAAGAAAATAATGATGCCCACTAAGTTTCTGAATTCTGGAGAGCTCAGACAGAGAAAAAACAATCATATCCACACTCCATACCCACACTCCACAACCACCCCCTACCCCTTCATTCCCCCTCCCCATCCTCCCACAAAGATAGTTTGCCAACTTGTTCCAAGTCATAGGAAAGCTTAAGAAAAAATAGAAATGAGTTCCTTTAATCTGGAAAAAGAACAATAAAGAACCAGAAACTTTATTGGTTCAGTTATCATCATCGTTGTAGACATCATCATCATCACTATTACTGAGGCATGGTAGCCCTCACCTGCCTAGAATTCACTCTGTATCAGGCTGGCGTGAAAATCACAGAGATCTAACTGCCTCTGCCTACTGAGTGCTGGGATTAAAGACATGTACTACTAAATTCAAGCTCCATAATTAATTCCTTTTTTTTTTTTAAGTGTTTTATTTTTATGTGTTTGGGTATTTTTTCTACCTATATGCCTATGTACCAAATGCATGCCTGGTACCCTCAGACATCAAAAAAGAGCATGCAATCCCCTAGGAGATTAGACAAGTACAAGTGTCTGATAATTAATGATAACCACACTGGTAATCATACTGCTGTTTTCAGAAATTATAGAATTCTGATGAAGGAAAATGTAAGAATTAATTATGGGAGGGGGGCTGGAAAGATGGCTCAAAGGTTAAAAGCATTGGCTGATCTTCCAGAGGACCCTCCTTCAATTTCTAGCACCTATATGGCAGTCCACACCTGTCTGTAACTCTAGTCCTAGAGGATTGCAGCACACAGGTGGAAACACACACTCCTGACTCTTCAGAGCTGGGTATCTCTGAATGACACTGCCACTGAAACAACTCAGTATTAACACTTCTGTCTCTTGCTTACATCACTGGCTTCTGAAAACATCTGCGTCACCTTCTTTTCTTTACAGATAATGAGGGACTGGAGAGATGATGGCTCAGTGATTAAGAACACTGCAGTGGTGATGTACCCCTTTAATCCCAGCACTTGGGTGGCAGAGGAAAGTGGATCTTTGTGATTTTGAGATCAGCCTGGTATACCAGCTAGTTCCAGGACAGACAGGGACACACAGAGAAACTCTGTCTCAAAAACCTAAACAGAGAGAAAAAAAAAAAAAAAAAAACACTGTCTGCTCTTCCCAAAGACCCAGGTTCAATTCCCAGGACCCAAATGGCGGTTCACAATCATCTGTAACCCTAATTCCAGAGGACGTGATGACCTCCCCTGCCCCTCTATCTGCATCAGGCACACAAATGGTGTACTTTACATATAATAAGCACTAACAATTAAAAGAGAAAAAAATTACTTACAGTTCCTTTAAGTGAGTCTGAGAAAAAGCATTTTCTTGGATAGACATTATAGCATTGTTGTTCAAATCTCTGAAATCAAGAGAAATGCAACCTCAGTAACCATTTCTACAGTGAAGCTAAAATGTTTAAATGTCCATAAACATCTCCTGTTGACAACAAAGGTTGTTTTGTGAGGCAGTCTCAGTATTCAACCCTGTCTGGCTTTAAACTTGTTATAGAGACCAGGCTGGCAAACTCGCAAAGATTTTCCTGTCTCTGCCTCCTAAGAACTGGGATTAAAGACAGGCACCACCACACCACACCCTATGAGTAACTATATGAAATACTTACAAATACTCAAGGGATTCAAGACCAATGAATGCTTTCTGTGTAATTGACTTAATCTGGTTTCCTTGCAAGATTCTGAAATAAAATTAAATAAAATTAAATTCATTAAATATTTATGTATAGAAGGTATACTTAAGTAAAATTTAGAGTATAATACTATTAACACATTTTTAAATTACTATTTTTTTTAATTGTATATGTGTGTGTGTACATAATAATCACAGTGGTGCATGAAGGGGACAACTTGCAGGAATACATTCTGCCCTTCCATCATGTGGGTCTTGAGGATAGGTCATCTCACTCAATGGCAAACACCTTTCACTGTTGGACCACCCTCCTCCATCACCCCTTCTTCCTTTCCCTACTCTTTTTTTCCCCCCAAGATTTATTTATTACGTATACAACATTCTGCCTGCATGCCAGAAGAAGGCTCTAGATCTCATTATAAATTGCTGTGAGACACTATGTGGTTGCTGAGAATTGAACTCAGAACCTCTGGAAAAGTAGCCACTCATCTCTCCAGCCCTTAAATTATTTTTAATTATGTGTCTGTGTGTAGCGGGTAGGGGAGAGGTATGTTCTTGTGAGTGCTGTGCCTGTGAAAGCCAGAAGAGGACATGAAACCCCCTGAAGTGAAGTTACAGGTGGTTATAAGCCACCTACTATGGGTGCTGAGAACCAAACTCAGATTCTCTGAAATAACAGAAGCACTCTTACTTAACCCCTGAGCCATCTCTTTAGCCCTTTTAATGGCTGAGAGAGAAAAAAAATATACACAACTGAGAGAAAAAATATACACACCGAATTGTAGATTAATGAAAGCAAACACTTAAGAAAATTATGAATTTACTAATTAAGGCAAAGTACAACACGAAAGCTTCTGTTGAGGTTTCAGAGGCTCCTCTAAATGCCTCTAAACAGTCATCCTTACCACTAAAATACTGGTAATTTGCCAGTGCTACATGAGGTTAGATTCCCCATTTCTCTCCTTAATAAAAGATGTTCAGATTAAAGATATTCAGACAACTATAAATCTTTGGAGAAATCCTTCTCTTAGGAGACATAAAATGTTTCATGTGAGAATATTTTCTCCTATTACTAGACATATTCCCCATATATCTCACACGATTAAACATACCATCAGATCAACTGTATTTTCTCAAAACATTTCTCTTACTTGAATAGAAAACTCTATTCTGGGGCTGGAGAGGCGGCTCAGAGGTTAAGAGCATTGACTGCTCTTCCAGAGGTCCTGAGTTCAATTCCCAGCAACCACATGGTAGCTCTCAACCACCTCTAATGAGATTTGATGCCCTCTTTTGGAGCGCAGGCAGAACACTGTATACATAATAAATAAATAAATCTTTAAAAAAAAAAAAAAAAAAAAAAAAAACTCTATTCTGTAATTTAAATCCTATGGGATTGAGAACATAAATTTGTAGTCACTATGGAAATCACTATGGGGGTTCCTCCAGAAACTCAAAATAGAGCCACCATATGGCCCAGCTAAACTACTGTAAGCTACTGGTAAATATATACCTGAAAGACTCTAAGTCAATATGCCACAGCCTAGGTAGCTAATAAAATATGGATAGATAAAGAAAAGGTAGCACATACATACAACAGAATTGTATGTAGCCATAAATAAAAATGAAGTTATGAAATTTGTAGGAAAATGGATACCACCAAACATTTTCTCTCATATGCAGAACTTAGATTTAGAATTACATACTTGTGTATGATATATGTGCTAGTAGGTTATGAAACTACAAAAGGGATCATGAGAGGAAGAGATCTTAAGGGATGTGGAAAATAAAGAATGGTGCATAAGTCATAAGAAAGCAGAAGGAACGACCTGGATATAAGAAAGGGACCAACCCAAGCAGGGAGGAGGTGGGAAGAGGACAGTAAGAGAGAGGAATGAATGATAACAAACAATAATGAAACATGTATGATCATGCAGTGATGAAACCTATCTCTCACAATGCTTACCTAAAACTAATTTTTAAAAAAATTTTCATAGGAATATTTTATAAATAAAAAGTGCCTAAACAACACAGTATTTGACAAACAAAGCTCCCTCCTTTAGGAGATGGTAGGAAAGCTCTGAATTTCTGGCCATATAAAATAAACATTACCCAATAACATTTACAACTGTTTCTTGAAAAGACATCTATTAGATAAACACAAACATCACAGATACATACAATTTAGTGAGACTTTTGAGTCCAGCAAAAGCTTCACTAGCATCTTCAATGGCCCATGAAATTTCATTATTTCTCAAATCTCTGAAAGTGTCAGGAAGAAAAAGTTGTTAGCCAATATGACTACTATACCACTAGGCAGCAACCTGGTATGGCAGCATAAAAGGATACATGCTAATTTTAACCATTATTTATGGTGAAGACTCAGTCCTGCTTTTTAAAGGAATATTTGTGATACACAGAAAAATAAATAAATTAAAGCAGGCATGGTGGCACATGTCTTTAGTCCTAGCACTCAGGAAGCAAAGCCAGGAGGATCTCTGTGAGTTCCAAGCAGCCTGTTTTATATTGTGAGCTCCAGAACAGCCAAAACTTCATAGAGAAACCCTGTCTCAAAAATAAATAATAAGAACAAATGAATGAATAAATAAATAAGCCAAGCAACCTGCTAGTTAATCACATGTAATTGTACTAGTCTATTAAAAATTGTAGATGGGCTCCTACAAAAAAGGAGGATTTCAAAATAAAGAAGATTTATAAAGCTTACAAATATCCTTTTAGACTCATGGGATTTCTGGGTGTTCCAAGCCTTCCTCTGGGCCCTTAAACTTAAAATAGCTCAAAGAGTAATACCAACACAGAATTTTACAGCTCAAGAGCAAGCTAACATTCCCTTTGGGAAGCAAATATGGTATCCCCCACATGCCAGAATGGTCACTGTGTTTTCTTGAAAAGTATGTCCTTTTAAAACCCACTATTCCATTCTCATAGGAAGTACAATTATATACATCATGTGTGGATAAAGTATCAGTTATATTAAAAATATTTCATCATTTTTGTTTTCTAAAGCTATCTTATATTAAATAAAGCAAATACTTTCTGATTTATAAGACTATATATATAGTATGAATGCCAAGAGAGGTTTCTTGTTTTACCTTCTTCAAGTAAAATGCTAACATAACTCATTTTATTTTATTATCAATTCTTCAGGACATTCCCCCTCCTCCACAGCAGAAAATAATAGGAATTATTCATCCAGAGAGGCATTGTGGTTCATGCCTATAACCCTAGGACTCAGGAAACTAAGACAGAAAGATGGAAAATTCAAAACACAGCAGGATCTTGTCTCAAGAGACCAAAAAAAGAAGAGAGAAAGAGAAAGAGGAAGAGGACAGGGGAGGAGAGGGGAGGGGAAGGGAGGGGAGGGGAGGGGAGGGGAAGGAAGGGGAGGGGAAGAAAAAGGTAAATGGGCTGGGGAGATAGCTCACTGGGATAAGAACAATAGCTGTTCTTTCTTAGAGGTCCTGAGTTCAATTCCCAGCAACCATGATGTGGTGGATCAACCATCTATAGTGGGATCTGATGAATAAAATAATTTTTAGGGGGAAGGGATAGAACCCATGAGATACAAACAAAGTACAGGGAAAACAAAACAAAAAAAAAAAAAAAACAGAAAAGTTTACAGGGAAAAGAAAGCAGGGGAGTAGGAGAAGAGGAGGAAAGAAGGAAAAGGAAAGGGTGGAAAAGAATCAATTAAAGCTATGAACATGGAAAAACCTCTACCCCTAAGAAAACCTGATATTTGATAAACTAATTTAAAAACTAAAATTTAAGAAGATCACAGAGTTTTAATGGCGGTACCATGTATGAGAGAATAAAGATGCTACCATAAGTCATATGCTGTTAAATGAGAACCCCAGGACCAGGGTGGGCTACCTCCCACAAGTTATTAGACAGAAAGGCCCCAAAGGTCCTCAAAACAATGCAAGCAATCGCTACTGTTGTTGGTTGCCCACCAGAACTAGATGGCAAGACACGACTGCTGCAGGTACCACATGTTTTGGTCTCAGAACAGAGAAATAAAACTAGATGAAGCTGAAAGCTTCCTTCCTGTGGGCTAACCTCATAGTGCTGGGGAAACACTGTTATCAACAATCTTACTCAGCTGTGGGCCCTGTATGCAACACTACTTGCAAGGCTTGCAAGACATGATATACCAACTGGTATTAATATCAACAAGTCTGTTATCCAACCACTTTGTGATTGGATTTGAGGCCTGCTCCATAAACATGGTCAAAAGTTCATGGCTAGGGAAGGCGTGGGCCCTAGTGGAGAAGCAACTGCTGTTATTTTCCTAATGAACATGATGTGCCCAACATCTGACTTCTACATGATTGATTATGACTATAGATTAGTGATGCTGAATATTTTTGATCAGAGAAGCTTCTTTGTAGAGTGGGCCAGCAATTAATGACAAAAATCATTACTGGTCAAAGTAAAGAAAACAAGAGTATTTAATACTCAGCCATAGTGGCTGAAGAAATGCCTCAGAGGTTAAGAGCACTGGCTGCTCTTCCTGAGGTCCTGAGTTCAAATTCCCAGCAACCACATGGTGGCTCACAACCATCTAGAATGAGATCTGATGCCCTCTTCTGTCATACAGGCATACATGCAGGCAAAACACTATACCTAATAAATAAATCTTTGTTTTGTTTTTTGAGACAGGGTTTCTCTGTATGGTTTTGGAGCCTCTCCTGGAACTAGCTCTGTAGACCAGGCTGGCCTCGACCTCACAGAGATCCACCTACCTCTGCCTCCTAAGTGCTGGGATTAAAGGAATATGCCACCAACACCTGGCTTCTAATAAACAAATCTTTAAAAATGGAAAAATACTCAGCTGTAAATGGGAGAACACACACACACACACCAAGGTTGAGGGAATATCATGGAAGAGGGAGTGGGAAAAATACAAGGGCAGAAAGAAGGGGTAGAATGTTGTGGAGCACTGTCCTCCAGGCATGACATAACATAACAATCTTAAACTCCCAGAAGCTGTGATTACCTATATAAGATGAGCCCATTTCCTGATAGGAAACCATTTGTCAGAAGGGTTATTGCTGTCCCATACTTCACCCCACCCCACCCCACCCAACTCTTGGCCTCCTGAGCAGGTCCTGGCTTTTCCTTACCCTCTTCTACAGTGCCTGGTAGACAAGTGTTATGTTGAAGAACACAAACCTCTTGTCTTGTACTTTGGTATTACAGATGTGCTACTAGTGCAATAAAGTAAAGGCTTTCTGCCCATAAGAAAGTAAATTTTATAAAGAAAAAAATATATAAGGCCCATCAACATACTGGAATAGAGGGAGAAGGGACTCACAAGGCTCCACACCTCACTGAGAATTTACACATAGTTAATGGTTGATGGGGAAGGAAGAGACACTTCCTTCAGTCTCATGGCCACTAGTACCTGAACCAGACTCCTAAAAGCAACCTTAATGAAATTCATCAGTGGTGCTGCTATTGATTACTGGCCTTATGTGTGCTAGGACAGTGCTCCACTGAACAAGGTCAATAATCAATAACAGCAGCAGCACCACATGTACAACCACTTTATACACACACACAATTTAGCCAGACATGATAATACATGCCTATAATCCCTGCACCTGGAAAGCAGAACTCAGAGTTCAAATCCAACCTAAGTTACACATTTAGATCTTGTCTCCAAAAACCAAACAGATGAAAAAGGTTAGTTTCTTTGGGGCAAAGCATGAAGATGTAGCTCAGTGGTAAAGTAATGGCCTAGTGTGCTCAAGTTTTAATCTATGGATTACTGCCCCCAAAGACCCACAAATCACAAACTACTACTAGAGAACAGACTGCTATGCTATACATGTGACAAAGCCAGAAGTTCTGGTACTCTATCCATCAGGGAAACAAGACAATGAATGCATTCTAACACTGCCAACTGGCATGGAGAGGCTTTGCTGTTATAAGATTAACTCAGATTAAAGTATAAGCTGTTATAAGATTTATTTATGGGATACAGAACAAAAAAAAAAAAAAGCACAAAATACTAGCATATATCCATTTTCATATTGATTACTTATTTTCATTCATTTGCTTAGTTTCATTCTAAAACAGATTTTTAAAAAACAAAGAAAAAAGAAACTTACAATGTCTGAAGATTGGAAAGAAACCTAAATACACCATCAGCAATATGAGTGACTCTATTGTCCCCTAAATTCAATTTCTCCAGTAAACTCAAACCCACAAAGGCAGATTCATCAAGGCGGGTCAGCTGGTTATAGGACAAATCCCTAAAAAAGCAAGAAACATTGAAAGTCAAAAATTATTGTATTTAGCCCAATACAAACTTTACTTCACTGACATGCTAAGTTTGGTGTTCTAACAAAGCCTGAGGAAACAGGAACACTAGATCTCATGACTACCATGAGCATAATTTACTCCACTCTGCTCTAGTCTCATACCTTCCCATGAAACACCACTCAATACTTACAGTTCAGATAGTCTCTGGCAGAACTCCCATGCATCAGGGCTGATTCTTTCAATAGCATTCTGGCTCATATACAGTTGCTGTAACATTCGCAAGCCATACAGCCACCCCTTATTCACTCCTGTAAGGTTGTTATGTTCCAGTTCTCTGTACAATCAGAGAGAAGCGAGTAACTCAAAACAAGGCATTCAGCACCAATATTTTAAATCTCCATTAAATGTTTTGACAGACAGACACTTTTGCTTAACTCTAGTGACCCAAGAAACTCAAGATCTAGCCCTAAAAGGACTAAGAATCTATAAAACCAACACACCAAGTGGTACAGGATTCCTGGTTCAGATAAATTCTGGTAATTTTGGTCAAAACAACATAATTTATTTTTATATTGAAAAGCTTAAGAATGATAACAAAAATATCAGTTAACAAAGAAAAAAGAAAACCAAAACCTTAAGAGTCTGTATGAAAGCAAGGGGCGTAGTATGTGTCAGGCCCTGGGTTCAATCTTGGATGGGAGGAGAAAGGGAGAAGAAAGTGGATGTTGTTTCCATTTTACCACACATCAGAAAGACCAAGTACCTCTGTTATTTAAGCAACCACTCTAGTTATTTGGCATTAAAAGCCCAGAACGATTCCTCCCAACTCTCCCCATCCTGGTACTTACAATTCTTCCATATTATTCAACCCAAAAAATGCTCCATCTTTGAGTTTGCTAATTCCATTTCGTTGCATTTTCAATGAGCGTAAGGAATCAAGTCCTTGGAATGTAAGACCTTCTATGATTTTAATCCTGTTTCTTTTTAGTTCCCTTTAACCAAAAAAAAAAAAAAATTACAGTTAGAAAATTGGCTGAGTTACTCTTACAATAATTTAAAAAAGAAAAACTTGTGTAAAGGAAAACTTGTCTCTTATAATCCATCAATTTTGTTACTCACAAGAATTGGAGATGAGGCAGCTTGAAGACTTTAGGTGGAATCATGCTAATTCGGTTCCGGTTTAATTTTACCACCAATAAAGAACCTGATAAGTTGTCAAAGCAACCGGCCTCCAATGTAGTTATCCTATTATTACTTAAATTCCTAAAATGACAAGGTAGCAGCAAAAGAAAAGAAACAGTGATAACTAACAAGGTCTGCAACTCTGATTCCAATCCCATCACTTAACTATACACATTTTGACATATCATTAATCCAAATCAGGCTACTTTTTTTTTCATGTCAGACAAAAGTCATAAGCCAAGGTTGCAACAAGGTCATGAGAGGCACATATCATGCAAAGGCATGAATACCCAATCATCATGCTTATGAATCCAAAAAGAATCTTAACTGATATTGTGTGTGTGTGTGTGTGTGTGTGTGTGTGTGTGTGTGTGTGCATGTCTATGTGTTATCCAGGTGGTATGCACAGTGTGTCTATGTGGGTGTAGAAGCCAGAGCAGAATGGGGGAAGAGAACAACCTCTATTATTCTCTGACTTATTACCTCAAGACAGGGTCTCTCATGGAACCATCATTTTGGCTAGGCTGGCTGGCCATTGAACTCTTGGGATCTGCCTCTCACTATCCTCAATGCTGGGATTACAGGCACACACAGCCATGCCCCTATTTTCATACAGGTGTTTGGGATTTAAACTCAGGTCCTTGTGCTTGCAGAAGCAAGCTCTTGTACCCACTGAGCAATCTTCTCAACTCCTTAACTGCTATTTTAGTTCATAAATCATTTAATTACTTTCTCCCTTCATCTACAAAATTTAGCTCAGTGATGGAATGCATATGGCAAGGTCCTGGGGGTTTGAATCTAGCACTGAAAAATAAGGAGAAGATGGGACGTGGTGGTGCACACCCTTAATCCCAGCACTTGTAAGACAGAGGCAGATAGGTCTATGAGTTTGAGGCCATCCTGGTCTACATGGTAAGTTCCAGGCCACCCAGGAATACATAGTGAAACCCTATCTCAAAACAAAGGGGGGAGGACTGTGGGGGTGACAGTACTGGTTCTACTTCATTTAGGATGTTACGAAGTAGGGTGCATGAATATGTTTTAGAAACTGGCATGCATGCTATTACCATCATTATACAGGGCAAGCTACTGTTTAACAAATAGTAACAAATCATTCCTATTTACTTTTTTACAAATATGCTGGTTAGGACTGGAGGTGTGGCTCATAGGACAGCAACTGCCAAGCACCAAGATTCCCAGTACCAAAATAAAAACTCTCAAACTAAATCTCGGGTTGATAGGATGGCCTAGGGAACACCTGCCAAACAAGCATAAAACCTGAAATCCATCCCTGGAACACACTGAGCACTAGTGATACATGTCTTTAATCCCAGCACTAGGGAAGCAGAGGAGGGAAGATCTCTGAGTTCAAGGCCAGCCTGGTTCACAGAGTGAGTTCCAGAACAGCAAGGACTACCCAGAGAAACCCTGTCTCCAAAAAAAAAAAAAAAAAATGAGAGACAGACAGACAGACAGATATGGAAGAAAAAAACAATTCCACAAAGTTGTCCTCTGACCTCCACAATGTCACTGTAGGATATGTGTATTACATCAATCTATGCACAATAACAAACAACTCGGACTTCACTCTCAACGTCTAGCAATTTTTTTTTCCTGGCAAGAAAGTACTTTCTTTTCGGGTGAAGTAGAAGAATAAATAACTCCAAAAGCCCCAAACTAAGCTTGTTTTACACATGGATATCAAAATTAAATAAACAACAGACATCTGAGGGAATGTGGTTAACCAATAAATGACAGAAATGCACTTTAAAGTAAATCCAGAAAGCAGGCAGTATACCAGTTACTGCTCCCTTGCAGTTCACTCAATAAACTATTCTTCCAATTAATTCAGTAAATCTGGGTCTCTATTTTACTTACAGGTATTTCAGCGACATCTGAGGAAATGAAGATGTCTTGATTTCTGATATTATATTCGAACTGAGGTCTAAACTCTCGAGAGCAGAGTAAAGCTGCAATGCTTCTGCATTTATTTCTGGTATTAAATTATGGACTCTACAAAACAAGGATTATACTCAGGTTATTGCCACAAGGATCTAACTAATTAGGATAAACATTATAGGTACTTGAAAAAAATGCAACAGAATTGTTATATTACAGTGAAAGCAGAGTGACAGCAGCTATTGGTTCTCCAAAACAGAGATTTCTAGACACACACACACACGCACGCACGCACGCACGCGCACGCACGCACGCACGCGCACACACACACACACACACACACACACACACACACACACACACACACGAGATTCATAATTAAATACAAGATCTGAAATCTTAACTTACAATGAAAGCAGAGTAATATTAAGTGTTGGTTCTCCAAAATATGGGATCTCTGTTAGCTCATTGTAATTCATTTTCCTAAACAGAAGAGAAAACAGTTTTGAAAGTTTAATGGTGGAAATTACCTCCTAAATTCTGGTTTTTGGCTCATATCCTAGTGTGCCAAAATTTGAAAAGCCCTATAATACAGAATAAATTAGACTAATAAAACTGTGGTTTTTAAGAAATTAGAATTTTCTCTTTTGTAAGAGTATTATTTCTAATTATGTGAGAAGAGGAGGGTTATACACATTAAGTGCAGTGCCTTTGGTCCCCTGAAGCTTGAGTTACAGGCAAGCCATCCAAATATGAATGATGGGAACCAAACTCAGGTCCTCTACAATAGCAATATGTGTGCTTAACAGCTGAGCCATCTCACCAGCTCTGAGAAATCAGGAGTTTTAATGTGTTTCTTCATAGTATCTACCATTAGCATCAGTATTAAATGCTAGATGTGGTTTTAGCACACCTTAATTCTATTACTTGAGAGGAACAGGAAGAAGTTCAAAACCAGCCTGGACTATAATGGAAAGACCCTTTCTCAAAAAGCAATAGCAACAAAAGTCAGTATTATAAAGGCTTGTGCCAGATATGATGATACATGCCAGCAACCTCAGACTGTAGGAGACAGATGTGGGAGGATGCACAACTCCAAGGCCAGCCTACACAGAACATTCTAGACCAGTCTAAGCTACACAGAAAAATTCCATCTTTTTAGAAAGGGTTGAGGGGCTGAAGAGATGGTTCCATTGTTCATAGCACTGGGTGCTCTTCCAAGATCCAGGTTTGATTCCCAACACCCATACAGCAACTCACAACTGTCTCGATCTCCAGTTCCAGGGTATCTGACTTCCTATTCTGGCCTCTGTGGACCCTGCATGCATGTAGTACACAAACACACATGCAGGCAAAATCCCATACACATAAAATAATGAAAACTCTTTTTTAAAGGGGATTAAGAAGTAATGCAATTACATTTTAATTTTCAAAATGTTTAAAAAGGAGAGTGGGATGTAGCTCAGTGGTAGGACAGTAGGGTAGCTAGCTATGAACTATCTCACATGGTTGTTGGGAATGGAACTCAAGTCCTCTAGAAGAGCAGCAGGTGCTCTTAAACACTGAGCCATCTCTCCAGCCCTTCAATTCTTCTCATAGCATCTCTAGAGTAAATATTCCCAAATTCAGTTTGAAGAAATGGTCCAGGCAGTAAAGTGTTTGCTAAGCAAACATGATCAAGTTTAGATCCCTAGCACCAAAGTAAAGCTAAATAGAGTAGTACATATCTGTACACCTACTACTGAGATAGGAAAAGTAGAACTAGGCAGATCCCTAGTAGTGAATGACCAGCCAATCTAGCTGAATCAGTGAGGGCCAGGTTGAAAGATGCTGCCTCAAAAACTAAGGTAGAATGAGACCAAGAACCTGAGGCTAGATGGTCATAGGCCCTAGGGGGAAATCTACTAATATTATTCTGCTAAATGAATTAAGCAACTCTTAAGGTTGCTTAAGATCAATGTATCTCTGAACCCTTATCAGAGAAGCTTCTCTGTGAAGTAGAGAGTAATTAATTGAGCAATGCTCAACCCTAAACAGGATATCTGTATCATATCACCCCCATCAAGGTTCAGGGATGTATGAGAAAGAGGGGATAGAAAGATCCTAAGAGCCAGAGGTAAGGAACAACTTCAAGGACAGCTCCTTAGACACAACAGGGCAAATGTACACATGAACTCACAGAGAATGCAATGGTATGTGCAAGACCTGCACAAGCTCAGCCAGACAAAACCCCAAGGGGAAGTGAACACAAAATCCAACTCCAAGACAAAAAGTCATTTACAATTGGTAACTGCTGGGAGAGGGAATCGGTTTTCTTCAATGAAGTCATACTGAGGATATCAACCACAAGCAGGGAAGGCTACATGTTCAGGAATAGCTTGCCAACACAAATTAGACTCCATGTTTGTTTAGGGATTTTACTTGTTTGTTTAGGTTTTTTTTTTTTTTTTTTTTTTTTTTTTTTTTTAAGAGAGAGAAAAAGCTTGGTGGCAGAGGCAAGTAGATTTTATGAGTTCAAGGTCTGATCTACAAAGTGAGTTCCAGGCTAGCCAGTGCTACCGTGAGGCACTGTTTCAAAAACATAAAAACAAAAACAAAAAACTCCAGGCAACACTTAGGAGGCAGAGGCAGATCGCTGAGTTCAATGCCAGCCTGGGCTAGGCTACAGAGTGGATTCCAGAACAGCCAGGGCTATACAGAGAAGCCCTGTCTCAAAAGAAAAACAAAATCAAAAACAAGATAAATATATAGATAGACTATGAAGATGTGTGAGGATCTGGGAAAATCTAGGAGGATCTGGGGGAAGAGAAAAGAATATGGTCAAAATATACAAACTTCAGGCTGGAGAGATGGCTCAGAGGTTAAGACCACTGTTTGCTCTTCCAGAGGTCCTGAGTTCCATTCCCAGAAACCACATGATGGCTCACAGCCATCTATAATGAAATCTGGTGCTCTCTTCTGGTGTGCAGATATATATGGAGGCAGAATATTGTATACATAATAAAATCTTTAAAAAAAAATACGAACTTCTCAAAGGATAAATAAAAACATTATTTTAAATAAATAAGGTAGACAAACAATTCAGGATGACAATGTTCATCTCTGGACTCCACAAGTAAATACAACAGACAAGTATGTACATATGTACGTACATACATACATACACACACACCCCAAAAATACTCAAATTCATAATTATTTCAAAGACTTTAATACTGAATAAATAAAAGTAACTTACACTTCTTGTAATGTTTGTGATTCCAAGCTGATGTTCCAGATAGACAACCGATTATGACTCAAATCCCTGAAAGAAGGCAAACAGCTTAGTGGTAGAAACTGGACCTCATACAAAAATAAAACAAAACAGGGGCTACGTAGATACATCAATGGTAGAGGAACCAAGACCTAGGTGCCCAAGGAAGGGAGGAAGTACAAAACTAAAATGGGAATACTGGGGGCTGGACAGATGGCTCAGACGTTAAAGGCCAGGCTCACAAACAAAAATAAAATGGGAACACTGGAAGTCCTACTATAGGTAAAATTTTTAAAGATTTATTTTAGGCAGGTGTGGTAGCACATGCTCTTAACCCCAGTACTCAGGAGACAAAGGAGGAAGACCACTCAGGCAAAGGCAGAAGATTTAGAACAGTCTGGTCTACCTATTAAAAGTTCCAGGCCAACCGGAGCTATATAGTAAGACCCTGTCGATAGGTAGGTAAGTAGATAGTAAACAAAACCAAAGAAACAAAAGATTTCTTTTTGTTTTCAGTTATGTTCACATGTGGGTATGTGCATGGGAGGGTGCCCATGGAAGCCAAAGGCGTCAGATTCCCCTGAAGATAGGGTTATAGGCACTCTGCAAGATCCCCTCTTCAAAAGTAGTGTGTTCTTAACTTCTGAACTCCCTAAATGTGAATTTAGGGCATGGTGCTGAGTTGTCTGTAATCTCAGCACTAAGAAGGGAGAGGCATGAGGATCATCCAATTTGAGGTTTGCCTGGTGTCAAGTAAACTCTAGGGCAGCTAGGATTACATAACAAGACCATGTCTGGCCCACCCCCAAAAGTCAACTGAATTTTACTATTACCAAAAGAAACGCTTAATGAAGAAGTCTGTCCAAATTTCAAAACAGATCTAATACTTTCCCACTTTTAACTTTTTTTAGTAATTTAGAATGTATTAATATGATTCAACCATAAAAAAGCAAAACACAACTATGGTGGTCCATACCTATAATCCCAGCTCTTGGAAGGCTGAGATAGGGGGAACATAAGCTACAGTCCAAACTGGACTATATAGCAAAATTCTGCCTCAAAAACAAACAGGTTGGAGAAGTAGACAGATCTGTTACTTAGTGAGAAACTGAGACCCTCCCAAACAAACAAACAAAATCAAACTATAAAAGGACAGAAAGTCTTCCATCCCTGTCTCCAGCTTCCTAACAATTTGTCTTTTTCCTATAGCAACAAATGAAACTACTGTGTGATTGCAGTCCTCCAAATGTTTTATGCATTCACCTACCAATTCTTACATAAATGATAATGCACACATTTTGTTCCTTGCTTTCTTCACTTAACTACAAGTTTATCTCTTGTAGTGATTATATAGTACCAGATCAGCTGTAAACAAATCTGAAGGTAGATGTCAAGTCAAAATGAGAGTTTCTATACTAAAACTGGAATTAAGCTGTGTATGCAGTGGTGATACACAAAGGCTAACTCTGGAGTGCAAGGCTAACCTGGCTTCAAGAGTAGTGTGTTCTTAACTTCTGAATTCCCTAAATGTGAATTTAGGGCATGGTGCTGAGTTGTCTGTAATCTCAGCAAAACCCAGTCTCAAAAAAAAAAAAAAAAAAAAAAAAAAAACTGATCACATCCTTCAGTGAATCTGTTCTTCCTAAAAGGTGCTTCTGGAGAAGGTAATAAATCTCATTCAAATTATGTTGACAATGGTGACAGTTCTGGCTTAATATTTATTAAGTGGCAGACAGTCTTCTTCATACTACTAGTTAAATTAGCACATAGCTACAAGGCAAACATATTTACAATCCTCACTTTGCTGATATATAAAACAAGCATACAAACTAATAGATTATCAATCCAAAAGTCACACAACTAAAAGTAGAGAAGCTATTAATTCAAATTTCATCCCATCTCTAGCAAGTAGTTTATTAGTGTAGAAATTTCACTGAAGTTCACCATGAGTTTAAACTTTTAAACAGCTTTTTACAAATTTACCTGGATGGTTCCTATAGTCTTTACAATGTTAAAGTGGAATCTAGCCCACACAAGCTGTTTGACCAAGAAACCTACTTATGTTACATTAGGGCTAGTAAGAGGGACACACTGGAGAAATACTACAGATCAGTTTATCTCACTGTGCTGCCACGGGCAGCTGGCAGGTGCATGCAGGTTTGAATGATGCCTCTATCACAACACAACAATTGGTTCTCAGATTCATGCCTGTTCATCTGTAATTTTGGCCACTTTCATTTAAGAGTTTAATTTACACTGTGACAAAACTAAGCATTGTCATTGTTTTTTAATTAATGGTACTGACATAGATCTTTTTTTTTAATGATTTATTTTCATTTTGTATGCACTGGTGTTTTGTCTGCACATATGTCTGTGTGATGGTGTCTGATTCCCTATAACTGGAGTTAGAAAGTTACGAGCTGCCATGTGGGTGCTGGGAATTGAACACAAGTCCTCTGGAAAAACAGCCAGTGCTCTTAACCACTGAGCCATCTCTCCAGCCCCATAGAACGATCTTTTAAAATATTTTATTTAATAGAAATTATTTGGGCTGGACAGTGGTGGCACACACCTTTAAACTAAGCACTTGGGAAAGAAAAACAGGCAGATCTGAGTTCAAGGCCAACCTGGTTTACAGAAAAAATTCTAAGATAGCCAGGGCTACACAGGGAAACACTGTCTCCAAAAACCAGAAGAAAAAAAATTTATTTGATCAAGGACTGTCTGTATTAATGCTAAGTGACACCCATGGATAAAGACCAGGTTTAAATCCCCTATACCCATACAAATACCATGTGGACCTGGAAGCCCACCTATAATTCCAGCACTTAGAAGGCAAAAACAGGATCCCAAGAACAACCTGGCTAGATAGACTAATAGGTTCAATGAGCTCTAGGTTTAGTTGAGGGACCCCTGCTCAAAGAAACACTCCCAACACCAACCTTGAGCCTCCTCACTCATGTGCACACATGTGCACCCCATACCTGCACAGATACATATGCCCACACATACGCAAACATGACATGAATACATTACATACACATAATGATAAATTAACTACCAGGAAGATTTAGAGTTCGGTAAGACATCACCAGCACTGCTGTGATTAAAATGAAAGTCCCAACTAGTCCCTTCAACTATCTCCAAAATGTACTTAGCAATCAGTAACTTTCCTGTATTTTCTAACACTACAATATGAGTATTAATAGATAACTGATCTCAATGAAGGCTTTATCACTCCAAGTTATAGATTCCCCTCCCACTTATGCTACAGGGAAACAGATGCAATAAGCAATGAATTATTAAAGTGCTTAATATCACCCAGAGTCTGAGGTGCCATTACTGTGGTTGTGCAGTGCTCTGAGGGTATAAATTATTTACAGAATGCTCACACAAGTAACAAATTCTGCAAGTCAACTACAAAAAAATTCCCTGCAGCCACAAAGATACAGGAATTTTCTTCTGCTCAGTCAGGTATATCCACTTATGTGTCAATGATCTTTTTTGTTTTCAAGAATCAACAGCATTAGTCAGGCAGTAATATTGCACACCTTTAATCCCAGAGGCAGAGGCAGGCAGACTTCTGTGAGTTCCAGGCCAGCCTGGTTCCAGGACAGTCAGGGCTACACAGATAAAACAGCACTAGGGAAGCAGAGGCAGGTAGACCTCTGTGAGTTTGAGGCCAGCCCAGCCTACAGAGTAATTTCCAGGACATCCAGGGCTACACAAAGATACCCTATCTCGAAAACAAACAAAAGAGAAGTGGAGCTACTGATGCAATATGCTGATCATCTTGTTTTGTGGGTCTTAGAACTGGTTTGCAAGAGGAAAGAAGAATAATTTTGAGCTATGGGTTAGAGAAGCTCTAGAATGTTAAGAGGCAGAAGTTAGTGAGCCACACACTGATACCAAAATGCTGATAAGCGCATAAACAGTAGAGGTTATGTTCTTGAGACTTCAGAAAACAAGGACTCCATAGGGAATTAGACTAGAGGCCATTCACATTACACTCTGACAAAGAACATGGCTGTATTCTATGTTTTGAAATTTTTGGTAAGGTTCAATTCAAAATAATTGACTATGTTTGATGGAAGGAATTTCAAGAAAACATACATTCAGACTGTGGCAGGGTTACTATTCAGTATGCTTAATAAAGTTTATAGTAAGATTCCAAATCAGAAAGTGGAAAAGATATGAGAAATGAACAGTTGAGTTGGGAAAAGAACATGAACCTGCTTAAAGTAGTGAGTATGGACAAATCAGCTACATTTTGTTGAGACTGGCACCATTAAGGAAAAACTGCACACTTCCCACAGAGACAAGAAAGATGTCTTGAGTAGAAGACACCATACATCAAAGGCTCCAACTTGTAAAAATATAAATTCATTTGAAAAGAGAATACCTGAACTTAGAATACAGCCACACAAATAGCCTCACAGGGAAATAAATGTTTTCAGCTAGGCAAGCACTCAATAGCCCCCATAGCTGTGGTCCAATAAGATTAGGTAGCTGGGCATCTCCAACATAGTATTTATTGTCTACATGGCACTAGTTTTGCAAGCACACAGAATGCAAGAGTGGGAAATCTTGGAGGCTTGAGCCAAGATTCCAGAAAGCCAAGCCAGGAAAACTATAGCAGTATCAAATGCCCTAAATAGGCTGTACATGCATCTGTGGAGAGGATACCAAAGGTACAATAGAGAACCTAGGATACTGGCAATGCCAGAAATGTGTTAAGTTCAACAAGGAAAACTGAAGGCACCAAGTGAAGTAGGCCCAATAGAAAAACCACATATCACTACTGCAAAATATCTGGAAAGATGGTGCTGCCCAAACCCATTGGAGAACTGAAGGTGCTATCAGAGCCCTAGACACCAGACACAGAGCTGCAGGATCTGGCGTCTGCTCTGCCAAGTTTCAGTTTTCTTTTGGTCTGAACTTTTTTGTTATGAATCCATTTACTCTTTAGAAATAATGTTTATACCATTATACATTAGAAGTAGGAACCTGTCACATGAAAAATAAATGACCTGGAGACTGATACTGAGGTTCAAACTTCAAGCTGAATATCAGAAAAGCAAAGCAGCTGGCTACTAGCTTCTTGCCTTTACCTCAGGCTGAATGGGTTGATCCTGTATCCACAAGTTCTCTCTAAACTTCAGACTGTAACCTCTCTTCAGCATGGCTGGAGAATGAATGCCTCATACTGACTACTTGATCCTGTCTCTTATACCCACCCCTCTAGTGCTGGTTTTAAAGGTGTGAGCTATAATTTTCTTTTAGAGTAATTCAATCTTGTGTAGATCTGAGTGGCCTTGGACTTAGAGAGATCCATCTACTTCTTAATTCTGAGTCCTAGGATTAAAGATGTGTACCACCATCTTCTAGCTTCTGGCTGCTAGAATTAAAGGTATGTATCATACCTAATCTCTATAGCTAGAGGTTGACTTTGCTTTTCTGAATCTTCAGTAAAGCTTTAATAAATCACAAATAATGTACCACTATAAGAACTTTGCTTTCTGATTTTACAAGAGGCTCCCAATTAAGACTTCCTTGGTCTTAGATGAGACTTCGAGCTTTTGTTTGTTATGATTTTTTTTTTTTTTTGCTTTTGGTTTTTTTGTTTGCTTTTCAAAACAGGATTTCTCTATATTGCTTTGGAGCCTGTCCTGGAACTCACTCTCTAGACCAGGTTGGCTTCAAACTCACAGAGATCTGCCTGCCTCTGCCTCCTGCATACTGGGAAAAGGTGTGCACCACCAATGCCCAGCTGTGTTTTTGTTTTCCAAGACAGGGTTTCTCTGTGTCACCCTGGCTGTCCTAGAACTCAATCTATAGACCAGGCTGGCCTTGAACTTAGAGATCTACCAGCTTCTGCACCCTTAGTGCTGGGATTAAAAACATGTGCAACTACTGCCCAGTTGAGACTTTGGACTTCTGAACAGTGTTGAAACTCTTACAAGTTTATAGAGACTAGGGAAGACTTAACTAGAATATTCAGCACAAGCTAATGGTCTCCATGTAGTAAAGAATTAACCTGTTCACAACTATTCCAAAGGAACAAGTGGAAACAACTTAGTTATTGAATGAAAACAGAATGAGGGACCAGTAAGATAACTCAGCAGGTAAAAGTGCCTGCTGCCAAATCTGGCACCCTGAATTCAATACCTCGGACCCATATGGAAGAAGAAAAGAACTGTCTTCCATAGCTTGTCTCTGACCTCCACATATGTACCACAGCATGTGCCCACCCTTTACACTAAATAAATAAATGTAATTAAACAAACAAACAACCCTTACAACCCCCTCCAGGTGTAATGACTTGTCACTTGGGAGGCAGATACAGGCGGGTCTTTTTGAGTTCAAGGCCAATTTGGTCTATGGAGAGAGTTCCAGGCCAGCAGGCAGACAAAGAAAGGGATTAGGAACAATGCCAGTTCTCAACATGTAAGCCTGTGGGAGATATTTCATATTCAAACCACAACACCAACTATACAGAATTCTGAAAAAGGAGCACCACATCAACCTGTTGTGGTAGTCCACACAAGTAGGATAGGCTGAAGTGGCGAAGAAGAGGTAGAAGGACTACAAACAAGTTCAAGGCTAGCCTGGGCTATACTTTTATGTTGGTAAAATGGCTCAGAACAGCGGTTCTCAATCTGTAAGTCGAACCATTTTGGGGGTGCTGAACACCCTTTGTCAAGGTTCACGTAAGAACATCAGAAAACATGGATATTTACATTACGATTCACAACAGTAACAAAATTATGAAGTAGCAATGAAAATAATGTTATGGTTGGGGTCACCACAACATGAGGAACTGTATTAAAGGGTCACAGCATTAGGAAGGGTAAGAACCACTGGCTCAGAAGATGAAAGTATTTGCCACCAAGCTTGAGGGTAAAAGTCTGATCAGCTGGGACACATATGGTAGAAAGAGAGAACCAACTTCCACGAGTTATCCTCTGACCTCCACACATGGTCATATATACAAACAATAAATAAAATGCAATAAAATATTTTTTTAAAAAGTTACAATTTCACCTGGTCCTCTAATCTATGTATTGGGTGTGTGCTTAATTAAATGAAACACAATACCAAGTTCTGTGCCCAGAGAATCCAATTTTGCAAAACCAAATATTTTAGAGAATTTCTAAGACAGAGAATCATAAACCATACCTAACAAATTTGAAAACAAAACACTGTGCTTGAGGTATTGCTATATAATACAGCAGTTGCCTAACATGACTAAGAACCTAGATTTATTTATCCATATTTTATGTACATTGGTGTTTGCCTGCATGTATGTCTATGTGAGTGTGTCAGATCCCCTGGAACAGAAGTTGTGTGCTGCTGGAGTTTTCTTGTCCTGCCAGGTCCTGTCACCCTTCTCAGCCCCAAATAAACACACAGATGCTATATTAATTATAAAACTGTAGGCCGATGGCTAGGGCTTCTTATTGGCTAGCTCAATCTTAATTATTAACCCATAACTACTAATCTATGTATTTCTACATGGCCTTATCTTACCAGAGGACACCTGGCACATCCTGTCTTCCCAGTGTCTATATGGTATCCTCTGCCTACCATTCACAGAATTTTCACCTCCTAGTCCCACCTATCTTCCTGCCTCTATTGGCCAGTGTTTTATTCATCAACCAATAAGAGAAACATATATACAGAAGGACATCCCCCATCAGTTGTGAGCTGCCATGTGGGTGCTGGGAATTGAACCCAGGTCCTCTGGAAGAGCAACCAGTGCTCTTAACCACTGAGACATCTCTCCAGCCCCCCCCCAATTACATTTAATAAGAGAACCATTCTCCAAAACATTTCACTCCAACTGAAAATGTCAATTTTATTACAGGATATTTGAATTTTCTGAACGCATACTGGGAATGGTGCTACAGCGCTAAGTAAACTAAGGCAGGAGAATAGACAGTTGAAGGTCATCCTGGCCTATCTGGCAATACCTCCCCTCAAAACACAAGAAAACAAACAAAAAACCTAAACAAGCATGCTCAGCAAGTCTCAATGAAGGATCTCTAAAAGTAGGCCATATTTACTTCAATTACAGTTACATTGAATCATACTGTGTTTAAATCTATGTCAGATTCAGTCTATCATAATCAAGTAGCAGTCCCAACAGCTTCTTTGTATGAGGTAGATGCTATGCTAGGTTTAATTCAGATAATAAGAATCTTAAGTTTTGAGTCAATAAAAGCAGAATTCACTACAGCTGTCACCTCCATAAAATGACAGAAGCTATGTTACTATATTCCAGTTCTATATTAACTGTAGCAGTTGCTAATTTTCTCAATGAATATACGAATTAGCTTCTTTCCTGTGTATGCTAACCCATAAATGCGTACTGCAAATATATACTAACCTCTACAATACAGATGTTCCATCTGTATTCTATCTCCAATGAGAACCCAACCATTCTTCACATTTTAATTACACCCCAAAGTATTTTCAGTGATAACTCTTTTTCAGAGATAATTCTAGAAGACAATTAATAAGCATGTCGCTCAGTTAGTGGCAGAAACATAACTGTATGTTGGTGGCTAGGAAGCCCCATAATTACAGTATTTAATACCTACTATTGTATTTAATACCTACTGACTCAGACCAATGAGCTCTCCAGGTGCCACTAGCTAATACAAGTTTGTCAGGATTTGAAGTCAGAGCTAGACACTCCTGAATCCATTCAACCACTGTATTAGAGTCTCATACATAAACAAAGAGAGCTAATGTGAAGGAATGTTCTTTGCCTCAAAGTAATGTAGCGAAAACAAAGTATGATTTGGGAAGAAAAAAAAATATTTCCCTTTTTTAAGTTGACTGCTAAAGAATACGGCTCTTACAAAAATATTCAGGATCAGCAATGACCTTCCTTATGACAAAAGTATTCGGGGTCAGCAATGACCTTCCTTATGCACGATAAAGTTTTCCCACCCTGTCAAGTATTCAAACTAAAACATACAATGATGGGGAAAATGGGGACAAAAGAGAGCTCCTGTGTTTTTTGGGAGAGCGTGCTTGCATCACGTGCCCAAGGACCAGTCAAACTGGAACACAAAAATGATGCAGCCCAAAGAAGGCTTCGCACTTGGACCGGGCCCACAGACATCCACAGAACCCGCTGTGCTCAGGAGCCTGAGTCCAAAGTTAAACATCAAAGACTCCCACGAGCCCGGGGAAACCTAACACTCAAAGTTCACAATCTCTGCAGGGCAGTTCCCTTCTCCACTCGGGCTGGCGACCGCGCCCTCGGGCCCTCTACTCACAGGCTGGAGGTGTCGGGGGGCAGCGGGCCTGCCAGTGCCCTCCAGCTGGGCGCGGGCAGCTTCCTGCGACTGCAGTCCAGCAGAGGAAGGCGGCAGGCACAGGGCGCGGGGCACGGGCCGGCCCAGGCGGCGGGCAGCAGCAGCAGCGCCTGCGCAAGGACGAGCAGCCGCGCCAAGGGTCTCGCCCCACAGCCCAGGCGCCGCTGCTCCCAGACGCCGCGGGGCGCGGCCGCCATCTTCCCGCGGCCGGGACCCGCTCGAGGACAGCGGCTGGCTCGGAGAAGCGGCTGGGGAGAGATGCCAGGAGGCTGAGCCGCCACCCGGAGCCCCGGCCGTCACCTGTCCCCTCTCAAGGCCAGCGAGAGGTGGCCACGACGCGACCACGGGGGAGGGGGCGGCGGTCGGGGGCGTAGAGCTGAAGCCCTGACAGACACCGCTCATCTGCCCCGCCCCGCGACGCAACGTCCTCACGCTCAGAAACCAGCCAATCGGAGCCGCGGGATGCGATTGCGGCGGAAATGGAGTCCAGAAGGGGCGGGGCATGAGATAGCCCCGCCCCCTCAGATGGTGTGCCGTAAAGCGGCCCTTCCTCCCTTTCCCAGCTTCCTCTGCAGTTCCGCCGCTATTCCTCCGCTTGGGGACGCACTGGATCCTTAAAATAGAACGGCGTTCGCTCTACCTACGAGGCCTCTCACTGCGGCTGATCTGCTGTAGTGGTTGGAAAAGGACCTGTTCTGAAGGCTACAGAAGAAAGGAATGGCAGAAGGGCTGAACCAAGCCTAGCTTCGACTACAGCGGCCTCTGCGGCGGAGCACAGCACGCTCGCTGTCTCTGTAGTCGTCTGGATACCTCCAGATTCTATTGTAGCCTGGAGTTCAGTAAATGTCTCTATGGAAAATGCTTTCCCCGGTTTGGGAGAATGTTCATCTTCAGAAGAACAAGTGGGGCAAATAGATAAAGGATTGGGTTTTTTGTTTTGTTTTTGGGTTTGAGTTCGTGGTTTTTGAGCAATCAACAAAGTGAAGGCTAGAAGGAAATTATTCTGAAGCAAAAGCTGTGAAGACTGGTTGGGAACAGCGGAGTCTAGCTACCTTGTGCTCTGTCAGCCATGTGTTAGCTACAAAGTGGATAAGACTGAAAATATTAGCAACGGTGGTGTGTTTATACTTTTTCAAAGACTGCTTGCAAGCCAAGTGTGCCCCAACATGCCTGCAAACCCAGCACTTGAAGTTGAAACAGGGGCAGCCCAAGTCCCAGTTCAACTTCACATGCAGTTACACTTTGTATAGATGAGAAGAAGAAAAGAAAAACAGGGTGGATGAGAGGGTTTGACGGCTCAGCAATAACAGCCTTGCCATCAAGCATATCCACCTCTGTTGCATTGCCAGAGCCCACATGGCAAAAGGAGACTCCTGCAAGTCACTGTCCTCTGACCTTCATATGCAAGCTGTGGTGCTTGAGCGCATGCACGCACACACACAGCACTTCCATGTCCTCCCTTTGAGTTGAAATTTCCTGGCTGTCCTCATAGCTTGTCTATTGAATTTGACTTATAGCAGGCTGTCTCCTTCAGTTTCTTCTCCCTTCTTTTTCCCAGTAAAGCCAAGAATGAACATGAAAGCTAACAACTACTACTATTTATAATCACTGAAGCAAAATGTGAAGCCAGGAAAATGATACAGATGTTGGACTTCATCAAAATAGAAACTTTGGGAGAGATGGCTTGGTGGTTAAAAGTACACACTGCGTTTGCAGAGGAGCAAGGGGCAGTTCCCAGCACAGACACTGGACTGCTTGAAACTCAGGTCCGGGGACTCCAGTGCACTCTTCTGGCCTTCGAGGGTCTTCTAGAAAAGGAAGAAGAACTGATTTTTTTGCTTTTGTTTTCGTTTTTCAGTGTGTATGAGTGTTTTGCCAGCATGTGTCTTGTGTACCACTTGCACGAAGTGCCTGAGAAGGAGGGAAGAGGGCATGGAATCCCCTGAGACTAGAGTCACAGAAGGTCGTGAGCTGAAGAGTGGATACTGTAGATCAAACCCGGGTCTTCTGCAAGAGCGGCTAGTGCTCTTAATTACTGAGCTATCCATACCCTCAACCATCCAGCCTCAGTCTCCAGAGTGCTTGGGTTACAGGCATACACCATCATGCCTGGCAAATTTATTTTAATATAGTCAAATTTCTTATTCTTTTATGGTTATTTATTTATTTATTGGTTTTTCAAGACAGGGTTTCTCTGTATTGCTTTGGAGCCTGTCCTGGAACTAGCTATGTAGACCAGGCTGGCCTCAAACCTAACAGAGATCCACCTGCCTCTGCCTCCAGAGTGCTGGGACTAAAGGCATGCTCCACCAACATCTGGCATGGTTAATGGATCTTTATATATATAAAATCATCTATTTCTACTCCAAAGTGAAAAAAATATTCTCTGATAATTCTCTTCCAAAATATTTATAGTTGAGCACATGAATTTTTGGTCTGGAATTTATTTAAATTTTAAATTTTACTTAGGAGGCAGAGGCAGGCAGATCTCTGTGAGTTCCAGGCCAGCCTAGTCTTCAGAGCTAGTTCTAGGATAGCCAGGATTGTGTGTGTGTGTGCACGCACACACACACACACACACACACAGAGAGAGAGAGAGAGAGAGAGAGAGAGAGAGAGAGAGAGAACCTGTCAGGAAAACCAAAAAATTTCTCTAATTTATACATTTTTATGTATATGGATGCTTTGCAGCATGTATGTCAGTGAACCATATGCAGGCAGTGCCCACAGAGGACAGAAGAGGGCATCAAATCATCAAGATTGGAGTCCGAGACCATTCATTCATTGTAAGCCACCTTGTGGGTGCTGGCAATTGAACCCAGATCCTCTGGAAGGAGCACTTGGTGCTCTTAACCAACCATTAATTATTATATGTAAGTGTACATGCAGTCAGAGGACATCCTTGTGGGATGGGTTTTCTTCCTTCACCTTTATATGGATACTAGGGACTGAATTTGGGTCATGAGCTTTGAGTAACAAGTGCCTTTATCTCATGAACCATCTCCCTGCCCTTTATATTGATTTTTGCACATGATTAAAAAAAGATCCAGGTATCACATGTCTGATCCCAGCACTCAGGAGGGAGAGGCAGGCAGGTCCCTCTGAGTTTATGGCCAGCCTGGTCTACATAGTGAGTTCCAAGCCTGACAAAACTACATAGAAAGAAACAGTTGGACAGTGGCAGAAAACTCTTTTAATCTCAGCACTTTCGAGGCAGAAGCAGGCAGCTCTCTGAGTTCTAGGCCAGCCTGATCTACATAGTGAGTAGCTCCAAGACAACCAGGACCACACAGAGAAACTGTCTCACCACTGACCCCTACACACACACACACACACACACACACACACACACACACACACACACACACACACAAATAAAATAACTAAAACAAAAAGAAAAAGTATCCAACTTCTTTTTTTCTCTTATGTGACAATCCAGCCAACTCAGCTTCATCCAGTGAAAAATCTGTCCTTTCAAAGTGCTCTGAAGTTCTCTGTTATAAATCAAATATCTAATTAAACATCTGATAGGCATCAAAAGTCAATTTAGCTTTCCCTGGGGCAGCACTATATTTTTAAATTACAGTAGCCTTCAAATATATCTTGATAGCTGGTCCAGCAAGTTCGTTTACATTTTTTTTCCACAACTGTTTTCTTTGCTATTATTTTTACCTGCAATGCCATTCATATTGAGGTTTTATTAGGATTGCACCAAATCTATAAATCAACCTGTAGAACCTGATGTCTTTATAGAAATGAACCTTTCAGTCTAAGAACATAATACAGCTCTCCCTGTCCAGCTATTTTTTAATTTTTTATTTCATATATTAACTGGATGGTGGTGGCAAACACCTTTGAGCTTGGAACTCAGGAGGCAGAGGCAGGTGGTTCTCTGAGTTCAATGCCAGCCTGGTCTATACAGTAAATTCCAGCCTGGACTACACAAAGAAACACTGTTTCGAAAAATCAAAGAAACAAACCATTTCTTGTATGTTTCAGAAGTATGCAGGAGGAAATCAGGGGGCTGTTTTCAGGAGCCAGGGATTGATTCCATCACCTAAATACTGGTGTTTTCAGAGCGAATTCCAGGGCAATCAGGGCTGCATAATTAGACCCTGCCTAAAAAATAAATAAATAATAAAAATAAAACAGGTGAGCATGGTAATATACACCTATAACCCCAGCATTTGGGAGGTAGAAGCAGGAGTATTAGAAATTCAAGGCCAGCCTTGACCACATAGCCTGTTTGAGGTCAATCTGCGCTTGAGAGCCTGGATCAAAAAAAAAAAGAAAGAAAGAAAGGAAGAAAGAAAGAAAGAAAGAAAGAAAGAAAGAAAGAAAGGTTAGGCTCAATGGCTCAATGCAGGCACTCTAATCCCTGTACTCAGGAAGCTTCAGCAGTAGGATTGCTGCAGCTTAGAGGCTAGCCTTGGCCAGACAGTAAGTTCCAGTCAGGATTGAGACAGGAGAATCACAAGTTCAAGGCCAACATGGACAACAGAGTAAGTTTAAGGCCAACCTGAGCAACTTCATGAGATCCTGTCTCAAAAGTAAAAAGGGGCTGGAAACATAACTCAGTGCTAAGGAACTTGCCTATTGTGTCAGACACCAGTACTGTAAAAGAAAAAAAACCAAAGGACTTACTATCAAGACTCACAAGTCTTAGTGGGAAAATGAGGATGAAGTATGTGCACAGGCAAATAATCAAACACAGCAGAATTAAAGTCCCACACACAGGAAATGTATGGCCAAAGGTCACACAAAGCAACTGATCAGCCATCAAACTTGTTGGAGGCTGATGTGTATGTATGCACTTGCATGTACACATTAGAGCTGCTTGTTAGTTGTTTTTAAAAAGTAACTTAGAACAAAATTAGACTCCACTCACACTGAAAACAAAAATCTGGTAAAAATCTAAATGAAAAAAAAAAAAAACAACTTTTAGAAGAAAATTTTAAAGAATTTCCTTGTGTGTAGGTAGAGAAGGTGTGACAGAGACTACTTCCTGTTCTTAATAGCCACTCTCCATTTTTCCACAATAAGTAGATGGGCACGTTTCCCAATCTCCTCTGGTTCTGGGATTTGGGTTCTGTTTTGGTTTTGGTTATGGTTTTTGATTTTGGTTTCTTGAGACACAGTTTTTCCATGTAACCCTGGCTGTCCTGGAGCTCACTACTTATACCAGACTGGCCTTGAACTCAGAGACCCATCTCTCTCTGCGGCCCCAGTATTGAATTAAAGGCATGTACCACCATGCCTGTCTGTCTGGTTTTAAAGCCTTAAAATTAAAAAAAATATATATATATTTAAATGGCACACACCTCTAATCCCGATAGCCGGGTCTATATAAAAAAAAAAAAAAAAAAAACTTGTCTCAAAAACAAATAAAAATTTAAAAAGAAAAAAGTGATTAGAACAAT